CCGAGGACCATTCTAGAAATATTTAAACTTTCCGAATTTCCGCTTTCCGAATGCGAAATCCGAATTTCTGACTTCCCGAATGCAAATAATTATTTATTTATTCGGAATCATTACCTTGGACTACGTATTTGGAACGTGGAAGCCATCTTTGAAAGTTGCTGGGCCCTTGATGCTTTCGACGTGGCAACCCGAGCGCGCTCGGATTTCCACTTCCCGGGCCATCACAAAAGGATGTACCATGCAGATTCAAAGCGATTTGCAGAGGCATCCGCGCCGTCCATATCAGATGCTCAGATTATCTGGACGGCTGACTGTGAATCTTGAAAGTGGTGGTTGAATAGAATCAGAATTGGGGTCTTGATTTTGACCTAGGTATTACCTCCCTGTGCGGAGTTTTTGTAAACGTCCGGGCGGACCCCGGGGCAACGACTGCACTGCACTGCCGGCCGGCGCCGGACACGGTACCTACCAATCCAGTGTACTGTACCGCAAGTCTCTTAGGTGATACGGTGACCCTATTGTACCGTAGTAGGTACACATTACATACGGTACCACCGAGGTTGCATACCGGCGGTTCCTACAGACTCAGGTAGGAAGTGCAGCGACTACGTTCGGTACTATTAGTACCGGTACTACAAGTACCGTGCATCAAGTATCGTACTGCTCCTGCTGGGCTGATGTCATCTTAGATACGGTATTGCCTGCGGCGGCAGCGCGGCCATTTCAAGCTTTGAGTTTGGCAATCTCAGCATTGGCAATTGCATCAGCTTGTGTCTCCTGCAGGCATAATTCCAAGGGGCCGCTTTTCATCAGTTATTGCTCTGGGAAGCCGTCTATTTACTCTCAGCGTTATCCTTCTTTCGGTCCGAAGCTGCTTCCTCAGGTTTGATAGGAGCGGAATAGATCCATAAGAACGTATCACGAGGCGGACTCACGAAGGCTTGTCCTGCTTCGTTCTTTGTGGCATCAGTTCTTCCCTGAGCCAAATTGTTTCCTCCCCGATCAATTGCCGCATGTCAGGGCCTTTCTTGCTCTTTCCCGGCCTCCAATTCTCCCTTGCGGGAGATCAGTGCCTCTGGAGTGAAAGCTCCTTCTTGTCCTCAAAGCTCTGCAAGCGCCTTCATCCATGGCCGCCAGATCACAGGCAGTCGTCTCGGGGGGGTCGTGCTGCCGCACCGCTCCAGCAGGGCAGCTCGAGGCATTGCCTGCATCCGCTGTTCCTGAGGAAACCCTATACAGCAGTGTGAAACTCAGCAAGGGGGAGGAGTGTGTTGGAGGGGACTGCTCAAAGTGCACTTCGGTGGATTGCCGCTGCCAGAAGTGTCTGACCAGGCGCGTAGTGGGGATGACGCAGACTCAGGCAATGGTCCCTGCTGCCCCTTCGCCAAAAGGTGCACGCCACTTCTTGATTCTGATTTGTCAAGTGCAACGCTTTAGGGTTTTGCGAGGGTTTATCAGTCCAGGGCCATAGATCTTTAGAGCAGTGGCATTCTTTCCTGGATCTGTGGCTGCAGCTTCAGTTCTCTTTGGTTTGGCTCTTTACTTAGATCTGCCTGCAAGGTTTCTAAATCATCAGGTGATTGATCGGTGCAAATAGATTTCTTGTTTGGCAACAATTTCAAAGGGTGCGTCAGTTTGGATTAGATGCTGTTTGGAACAGACGAGAATCTGCTTGGATTCTTATGGATGCTCAAGCTCCTCCTTGCCCAGGTTCTTTTTACTGGTTTCAAAGTTCATTTTATCCACAAATTATCACAGATATCGCGAAGGTCGTCAAAGTTTCTCCTAGAGTTTAGCATCAAATTGTAGTTCCAAATCGAAGTTTCATCGCATGATGATAATATTCAATCACAGGCAATCTTGCCCCGCATCTGCGGTTAAAAGGGCAATGGTTACCAGGCCAGCTGTTTGGCCAAATCATCTGGCTCATAAGCAGTCTGCTTTTCACACATTCTGCATTACCTTCGCATCTTACGCCTGATTGGCAATGTTGAGCAACTTAGAGGGAGGCCCAAGCATTTGAACAGACCGGGTTCCGGTCAACTGGAAGGGCTCATAGTATTCTTGCACCGTTGCTTTTCTTGGATGAAGCACCTCACATTATCAAAGACTGGAAAGGAGCTCCATGTGACAGAATCGATAGGTTCGCTGTCATGCAGTGATTTCAACGAGGGAGTAACTCTCACACACTGTCACTGCAGGCGTGCCAGTGGCTCGAGCCCCTGCGGTGCATCCACTGGACCCCCTCAGCCCCGCGGAGATTGCAGTGGCGATCGCAACTGTTCGATCAGCGGGGGCGACACCAGAGGTAATTCTCTAGCTCCAGGAAAATTTCTTGTGAGCATAAAGTTGGCGACCCCTTTTTACCTACGGTATCTGCCAAGGTGTGCTCTGCTTGGTCATTATGAAGTTGATCATGATACAGCTAGGAGGCTGGCGCTGGTCACGCCGGAGCTTGACTAAGCAGGAATCTGAGCAAGAAATTCTTGGAGAGAGCTGTCTGGTTTTGATCCAGACAAATCGAAGCGGTTTAATAACATTCTTTGGGGGCACTGCGAAAGTCAGCCGGCCTCTGAAATGATGTGCGTCTGGTATCAATGCTGCGCTCTTCCATAGCCTCCCAGTGTTGTTGTAGACCCTGGCAAAACCTTGCCGGGACTTTCAAACTGCAAGACTGACTGTAGCACCCCAGCAACTTGTTTCTTCTTTGACAAGACCGCATCAAACATCTCAAATATTGTAAAATGGCCAAGAGTTGCTCATGGAAAACTACTGGACAAGCACGTTCCTCAAAGCCATCTGTCAAGCAAGGGACGGCAAATCAAGAACTCGTCAAGACAAAGAGATTCAATGCAATGCTGACCTGGCTCTCCTTTCCCTTTCCAGCTGCGCGACTCGATGCGCTTCATCGAGATCTGCCTGAACGAGCCAGACAAAGACGTGGTTGCTTTAGCAGATGCGCTGATTCCCTTCCCGGGCCACCGCGTCACGCCCACCCCCCTCCCGCGAGTGGAGCTCGCAGGCAAAAGGAGCCCCCCCCGCCCAACGCAGCTGCCGGCCCGAGAGGCGAGGCTGACGGTCTATAACAAGGCAAACAACGAGACCACAATCTGGGTCGTCCAGTTGAAGGAAGTGCATGCGCGGCAGAGAGGGGGGCATCACCGGGGGACGGTCAAGAGCGTGGAAGTCATTCCCGATGTGCAGCCTGCTATGGTGAGGAACGAAATGTGGCACTGATATCCTAGCCATCAGGAGTGGGACTCCTTCGGGTTGATTTGTGTCAATTTTACAGAGTAGTTGGCGCTTTTAGTGGCAGGGGATTGCACTTGGTCTCCAGGGAGGCAGCTCTCGATGTCTTCCTCTGATCTCAATAGAAGCACGGCAACATTGTCACCAGGTAAAGCGGCATCATCCGAGGTTGACTAGGCAGCGCCAGCAGCACTGTAGTGGTACAGCATATTGCTGACCAGAGAGAGCGCTTGTTTTAAGCCCACTATTGTGTGTTTGGACCGGGGACTGTCTGTATGCTAATTTAAGTAACACACAGTTGGTCAGATTCCTCAATATGAGCTGCCTCAAAGTCTTGGCTGTATCTGCCACGATATCTCTGTCAGTGTCAGTCCCCTTGATCGGGTTTCTTGGCAACCCTTCCCTAGACCCCAGCGCCAGGGTTGTTTCAGTGCTTTGTATCGATGTTGAAAGCCGACCAAAGCATACTAATAACACCCTGGAATTTGCAACAGGACGCGGCGGAGTACGCGCAGTGCGAGTCGCTGGTCAAGGCTTACGAGCCTTTCATTGAGGCGATGAAAAAGCGCGGGGTGGACGACATGGAGCTGATCATGGTGGACCCGTGGTGCGTCGGGTGGTACTCGGAGCAGGAGGACCCTAGCCGCAGGCTTGCGGCGCCGTTGCTCTTCTGCAGGACCGAGAGCGACTGCCCCATGGAGAACGGGTGAGATGCTTGCTACTGTAGTCGATGGAAATCTGTGTCTGTTGGGTACTACAGGTTACCTGAGTATCGCCTCATGCGGTTTATGTATTGGGGCACTGCTGATAAGGTTTTCCAAAAGGAGTCCTTTGATGATCCGGGGGCTCTGGTTTCTTCAGAGATGCCGCAACGACTGCGCATCTGAGAAGTCATGGCGTCTCAGCGAAGTTGGGATCAAGTAACGAACTTTAGATAACCTTTCTTTGGAATTCTCAACAGGATTGGATTTGCAGACCCCGAACATTAGACTCTGGCTGTCGGATTCCATTTCTTCTATCATTCAATTTTAGTGACACCTTCCGAAAGCTTGCTCTGCGCTTGCCAGGTGTGCTTGCGAAAGCTTGCTCTGCGCTTGCCAGGTGTGCTTGCAAATCTCTAATTTATGCCGAAGTATGTGCATCCAGCCCTTCTATCCCCTAAATTCGGAAACATATTCTTCGCAGATACGCTCGCCCGGTGGAGGGCATCTTCATCTTGGTCGACCTCCAGTTCATGAAGGTTATCAAGTTCGAGGACCGCGCCCTGGTGCCGCTACCCCCCTCAGACCCGCTGCGCAACTACACGGCCGGCGAGTCTCGCGGGTATGGCGGGACCGACAGGACGGATCTGAAGCCGCTTCTGGTGGTTCAGCCGGAGGGTCCCAGCTTCAAAGTGAACGGGTATGCGGTGGAATGGCAGAAGGTGAGGAACGAGGAGTCGCTGGGGCTAAAGTTCTTTTCGAACGTGTTCGTTTGTGGTGGAATGGGTAGTTGCTTTGCTTTGGAGCCGCTCGTTGTGGTTCGAGGGGCCTTTCTCAATCGAACGGATCCGACGTGCTAGACGCTGGAGAGCGGGTGGACCAAGGGTTTTGCGAAGGGTCAGAGGTTTGCATGGTTTCCTGACATCTTTGTGCAGCCCTCTTGGCTTGCAGGGGCCGCTTGTTTGAACTTCCTCTGTTCGATCCACTCTCAGGCAGACCTTGTCCACTTCGTTGCAACGCTGGTCTTTGTCGAATTGCCAAGAGTTGGTACTTGAAGCACGTCAAATCTCAGCTTTGACGTGCACAATCACATCATCAGCATCCGAATTCCCTTTCTGATTGCAACCCGTCACCTGCAGTGGAGCTTCCGCATTGGTTTCACGCCCAAGGAGGGCCTCGTCATTCACACGCTGGCATACGATGACGGCCCCCGCGGTCGGCGCGCCATCGCACACCGCATGAGCTTTGTCGAGATGGTCGTGCCGTATGGGGACCCTGCGGTAAGATTTATTCGGCATCCTCCCTTGCTAGAGCTTCTGAATCATAAAGTGCGCTTCTGAGCGGTCTTGTGACGTGGTCGGCTCGTCTGGAGGGCCCTGCGTAAGGACGTTACGGGAGTCCGCCCGTTTTGAAGGCGGCCACAAAATCGGGCAATGCGAATAAGCCCTCGTTCCTTGCTGGTCTGCATGAAGCGGTCCTGTGACGATGATGGCAGGGACCAACGCTGTGCGAATGATGTCAACGACGGGTCCGGCGCTGCATCTGAGTTTCGCAAGTTGCTTTGCAGACAGCTTTCCGAACACGGTGGAAAGCGGTTGGACTTAAGGCATACTTCAAGGAGTTCAGTAAAACGCACCATGACCTGGTTAAATAGGTTTCCGTCCTGTATCTTTGAGTGCCTTCCAGTCCTTCCCGCGCTGAGCCCGGTCGTTTTTCCCCCGCATCCAGGCCCCCCACTACCGCAAGAACGCGTTTGACGCGGGCGAGGACGGGCTGGGCAAGAACGCGCACAGCCTGAAGAAGGGCTGCGACTGCGTCGGCTTCATCAAGTATTTCGACGCGCACTTCACCAACTTCCTCGGCGGCGTGGAGACGATCGAAAACGCGGTGTGCATGCACGAGGAGGACCACGGCATGTTGTGGAAGCACCAGGTATGAGGTTGGAGGCTTCGCCTTTTTGCGTTTGTTTGGGGGGGACCGCCTTTTCTCCCCTTTTGCGTGAGAGAAGTTAAATGTCTTGTGGTCGGAGTCGCGAAGTTATTTTCCCCTTCTGCGTAAGTGAAGCTATCGTCTTTTGGCCCGAGTTGCGAAGTGAAAGGTCGAGAAAAGCACGTCTGCCAGTTTGTGCTCCCGCCCCTCTCTTGTTGAGCTCCCTACAAACAGCAGTCGCCAAAGGGAAGCTTTTCATTTCGGCTGATGAGTTGATTCGCGTGAATGTCGACAGTCGGAAAGTGTTCACTTTGAAGCGCTAAGCAGGGTGCTTGCGTCTCCATATCATTTCTGCCTTCAGAAATGGCGGAACCTTCGCTCTGCTCTCAACCTGCCACGTGTCCGTGCAGGATTGGCGCACCGCTGACACGGAGGTTCGCCGCAGCCGCCGCCTGGTGGTCTCGTTCGTGTGCACCATCGCCAACTACGAGTACGGCTTTTTCTGGCACTTCTACCAGGTCAGGACCCTGCTCTCGGCAGCACTCGCCGAACTGCTCTCGATTTCGAGTAGAACGTGGAGTGCCCAAAAAGGTGTTGAGATACCAGCAGAGAGCTGCTTTTCAAGTGCCGGCGTTGGTCTGTGTGTGGAAGGTGGTCTTTTGTTTCATGCCGCTTTTCAAGGTTCTTCAAACGGGTTACAGCGTTTGGGTCCCAACAGAAGAAGCTTTTCCTGCTACGTTACCCACTTTGTCACTCTTGGGTTTCTGTGGAATTCGCTAAGCTTCGCTTCTTTTGCATCTGCCAACCGAACAGATTCAGGGAGTCAATCAGTCCCTCATCTTAAAGGCCGGATCTGTTTCTATCATGTGTTGACACGAAGGTACCCATTGAAATCGATGATGATCCCAATTCGAGACTGGAAATGAATACAGCTCTTCTGCTCGGACTTGAACCCTAAGTTGACATGCAACTTTGCACACAGGACGGCCGCATCGAGGGCGAGGTCAAGCTGACCGGCATCCTCAGCCTGGGCTCTCTGCGCGACGGGGAGGTTCGCAAGCACGGCACCATCATTGCGCCCGGGCTGTACGCTCCCATTCATCAGGTGAGTTTTCTCTTGGAAGAAGATAAAAAAATGAAAGGTTCGGAACTTGGTTTGCCCCTGCTTTGGCGGGGTTGCTTCTAAGCTCCTCAGGGAAGACGTTGGGTCATTAAAAGGACCGTTCATCATCGTCAGGTCGAGTGGTCTGCAAAATAAAGGCGATGAGACCAATCTCAAATGTGAAGCTTCACCACGTGAAGCCTTGGCACATCTCTACGAAAGACACCCCTAATAATGTGGCGGAATCAAGTTTTCGCTGAAAGGTACGATGTGTTGGATTCGTCCAAGATGATGCGCGCCTAAGCGGTCTTGCGGTTTACAAGGAACCTGTAGAGGTGGACTCGTCTTTCAGGTGGTTCTCAACATAGCGTGCTTGACACTTCCTCTGAGGCTTCTTCTGACTCCTTTGAAAACCTCCGACGTCTTGTCCAATTGCAGCACTTTTTCGTGGCCCGTATGGACATGTCGGTGGACAGCCGCCCGGGGGAGGGCCACAACGAGGTGGTAGAACTGAACGTGCACACCGAAGACAAGGGGCCCAAGAACCCGCACGGTATGTACCCCTTTCATCTTTTAGCACATCTTGCGTGTGGAGCGCGTCAATGGTCAATAGGAAGTCAGCAAAGACGGAAGCGGCATCCTCTGTCTCGGAAGTGTCTCCTTTGAAGGGTTTCTTTGAGATTGCCCCGGGCAAGGCTGTCGATCTGCATTACTCTGTCACTGGAAGACGTGCTTTTGGTTCTGTACCGTGTCTCTGTCAAGCCTCGAATGGGAGTCGTCCCAGCTCTAATTCGTCGTTCGAGGACTGCAGGGTAGGGGTATGCGATTTGTTGCTTTTCCAGAAAGGAGAGTCTGTCGCCTTCTGACTGGCTGTGTCGCGTGGTGCAGCCAACGCGTTTTACACGGAGGAGACGGTCCTGGGGTCTGAGCTGCAGGCCCAGAGAGACTGCAGCCCCTCCACCGCCCGCCACTGGATCGTAAGTGCATGGGCCGCTTCCTTATCCACCTTCTCCTGCTTGACCGGCCCTAAAACGCTGCTTTACCTGCGGTTGGAGGTTGCTCTACCCGCTCTTAGGTCCTAATCTGCCTTCCGTCAAAACTTGGTCTTCTTCAATGCCGTTGAACCCTGCTGTCTTGAGCCAGGGCACCTCCTCTGACGTTCTCCTCCTTGCTGCTCGTGTTGCAACCTGCATTTACCCTCTCTTGCGTCTACTCGTGTGCAACACTACTCGCTTTTAGTTGCTGAGTCTGGCAGTAGATGACTAAGCCGAGCACAATTGTGCGTGCCTAACCCACCTGCTTACCTCGCCGGCACGCAAAACGTGCATGGTGAAACGCACGGTTATCGAACCGGTTTACGAGCTGGTCCCCCGTGATGACAAACCCGAGTGGGTTTTTCTTTTTAGTTTTCTGTAACTTACCCATCCGGTTACCTTGCAGGTCCGCAACACGCGCACAGTGAACCGCACGGGTTATCCGACCGGTTACAAGCTGGTGCCCGGGAGCAACTGCCTCCCATTCTGCCACCCGGACGCCAAGTTCTTGCGGCGCGCCAAATTCCTGGAGCATAACCTATGGGTCACGCAGTATAAGCGGGGGGAGCTTTTCCCGGGGGGCGACTTCCCCAACCAGAACCCGCGCCTCGGGGAGGGCCTCCCGACCTGGACACAGCGTGACGCCAAGCTGTCGGATGCTGACGTCGTACTCTGGTGAGTTTACGAGATTGGTATGCCTTTTTGCCGAGATTCCTTGGCCTGTGGGTTTAGAAATAGATTTTTGTAATGTTTCTGGAACAAATCAAAGCGACTTTTCTTGGTTGGGTGATTGCGGGATATTGCACTGCGAAGAATCGCCTATTTGCACCTTTTGTGGGTGATAAGTGGGAGCAATGTGTTTTCCTAACGTTTCATCCGTTTGAGAGTGACGAGTAGAAGCGCTGGGGTTCACGAAAAGCCAGCTGTTGCTTGATAACGATCTGCTGGGTGGTGCCCTGATTGGTTCGTCGGCGAGAGCTTGTCCTCGATGATTAGCTGCTTCTGACGAGCATTGGATTGGTGACTGGGGTGCCGGCTACCGTAGTTCAACGTTTGTTGTAACTGTGGCGCTACTGCATATGACTGTGTCAGCGGACTTTTCGTAAGATCCCCCCAACGCTTAAAACGCTTGCGCCATTAAAGGTCCTCAAGGGCCATTTTCTTTTGTCTTCAGGTACGTGTTTGGCGTGACCCACGTGCCCCGCCCAGAGGACTGGCCCGTGATGCCGTGCGAGACCATTGGTTTCCATCTCATGGTGAGGACAGACTACTTGTGTCTCGCTCGTCCAGCTCGACTTTAGAGTTCCGTTGAAGAGGTTGCTGATTGAATGAAAGATGTCGAGGGGCCTTCACAGTTCGTTCGGGGCAGAAAGCTGGATATCAGGACGCACTGAATAAAGCACCTCCTTGCGAAGAAGCTCAAATATTTTGCCCACTTATGTTTCGGCTACGGGAATGCCGCAAGTGTGCTTGCGACAAGCATAGGAAAAGAGTTGTTTCTCGCAAAACCGTTCGGATATGCCTCTTGGGCAGTTTCGAACGCTCTGTTCGCTCTTGGTCGATGCCCATTTCTGCAAACAGCTCGAATGTGTGACCTCACTGTCGGCATTGATAGAGTTGAAACGTTGATCTTATGCGAGGCTTCTCTGACTGTGTCGTTGCTTGGATGTCTGCAGCCGCATGGGTTCTTTAATTGCTCTCCGGCGATCGACGTCCCCCCAGCTGCCGAGGAGAAGACGCAGATGGAGACAGGCAACGGCGCGGCAAACACGGAACTCCCGAGGGCTCTCATCTCCAAGCTGTAGAGTGTGTACCATTCATATGGAGGGCGTGGTTCGTGTGCGTCAAAGGCCGTTTCAGGTCATGCGGGTCTTTGAACGCATATGGCCGTCAAACTCTAAATAGAAGCCGCTATCCGGGGGGATGCATTACGCACGAAGGTCTTGATTCTGCAAAGGTGATTGCATGCTTGAATGTGGCGCCTTGATCAAAATAAGTGAATACGACGTGTTGACAATCTACAATAGCTATAGAGCGTCCTAAGAAAAACATTACTGATTGATATAGCCGTCAAAAAGTCGTAGCCATTTGCAATTGGATTGAATTGTTATATACAAACCTTTTTTCCAACTTTCGTGTGAGCTTCGTTCGAGAGGAGATTGAATACAGCGTTACTTGAACGTTATACACATGTGGGACTTACCAAACAAACATTTACTGCTACCAGATCAGTGATTCTGATTGTCAAGCAATGCCAACCTTTTGAAGTCCGATACGAAGTGTCAGGTTATCGTGTATTGCAAGGGACGGCATGCACCTATGTTGCATGTTCCTAAACTAAACGCATGTTTAGCTAAGCACATGCCATGTTTTCCTGTGTACGATTAGGTTGTGGCAATCCAGCTCATGCATGAGTGTATTGATATACACTACAAATGATGCATGGGCCACTCCTTGTGAAGGATACTGTCACTAACTCAGATGCGTACAATCTACACTTTCGAAACAGTCATTGATCACCGGATATTCATGCACGAGGCCGGGCCCCGCTGGACAGCGACGATTGCTAGCACACCTGGTGAGCATGTGCAACTGCAGTGCGCAGAAGATCGGAAGGCGCCCGCGGGTCAACACAACATGTCGAGTTAAGTTCTTCTCACATGCGAATGAGGCTTGCACAGGGGCGCAGCTAATTATGTCTGACTTAAATCCAATTGCATGCGGGGGCCTCTCTGGCTCGGCCGCCCCATGCAGCTCGAGCCAGCCGTGACGGTTTGCATGGTCCTCAAAGCTTTCGACGGACCAAGCCTTTGTTTGTTGGTCGGGTGTGACGCGTGAACAGGAAACTTCAACCGAAAACCACACTCGCGATCGACAAAGCCCCAAATCAATGTGCGGTCATGCCCGCCCACATCCAACACTACTCAGAAAGCCAGAAAGTGGGTCACTGCCCGTCAAAAGCATGGGACTGCGCTCTGGTCCAAGACTCACGGACCCGGGAAGGCAGGTTTTCCATATAAAATTGTCCAAGGCGGCCGCCGCAGCCTCCTCAAAGCGGCCGCGAGTCGGCAGTACGGCGCCGGCCCGCGCTGCCGTCGAGAGCGCGCGCTGATATGAGAATGCGGCGCGAGGCACGACCGGGCCAGTTCCTGTCGATGAGGCGTGAGTTGACATCCATTGTCCAAACACGGTCCCTGCCGTTGGATGCTCAGATGAAGGATGTTTGTCGCAACATGCTGACGTTTAAATTGACCAGACGACAAGCAGGAAGAGACGCGTGTCAAGCAGACCAAAACCCTCTAAACCCTCGGACTTCCCTCTGCTATTTAGAGGTTAGTAGCATCCACTTTTCCTTTGCCACTTCGGCTTCAAGGTAGATTCATCAACGGGCGCTCACCTTTTGCTGAACGTTTGGGAGCTGAGTAAGCTTTCTTTCATGTTAAGTTGGTAGAGAAGCTTGCTGCTGGTCGACCAGCAAGACCGGTCTTGCTTCAGGTCGATCCGTTAGCATCATTCATGTGAGATTCATGTACGGAAATTGAAAGCCAAATCACGGTTGTTCAACTGAGCTGGAAAACATCTTACAGCTCGTTTAGGCAAGGTTTGGAAGCAGGATTTCGGGAAGTTTTGTTCAAAAGTCTAGGGAAGTGAAACAAACATCTTTACCATCAGAACTTGAAAGGCACGTGATTGTGTTTGAGACTCGAGGACTGGATTCTGCTTCTGCACATCAACGGTTATTGTATTAGAGTCGAAACCGACCGCTCGTAGATCAAAATTGTAGAAACACGTCCATGAGAGAGCCTTGAACATGACCAGTGACCTGAATGCAGTGTAGCAGTGGCCTTTTCTGACTTTGCCGACTTCTAACAAGCGCATCTCCCTTTGTCTCTGGGTTGATCTCCTGTTGCAAGCTGCTGTGTGTTTAATTGGGACTCCACGTCAAAAAACCTAAGAGGTTGAAGTCTTGATTTATCTGTTTTTGTTCACCGTCAAAGCAGAACTCGAGAGCCGGCTTGAAAAAGCTTGTTCTTATGGGTCAAACCGAGAAGTCTTCCTAGTCCGGTGTCCCCATGTACCTATCTGTGCTTTGGGATGAAGTATTGACACTTAGTCGCAGGTGGATGGTTCCGCCTTGCACGTTTCGCTGCGTTTCTTGATAAGAAAGAATAAGTCTTAGTCCACTCAGATCCACGTAGATCTGACAGCCCGACCTCGTCCCTTCTCGCAGTCCAACCAGCCCACGTGGATCGCGCTCGATGCTCCTGACAGGATGGCACGTGTCCTCTTGTTAGTGGGCGGTCTCCTCGCCATCATGGCCGTTCAAGTGGCAGCCAAGTCTGCGATGAATCCGAACTTCACCTATAGTTTCTGGCGCGACGTGAAGAATCCCAACCAGTAAGCCGTCCGTTACCCAGCTCTTGGTGATCCTCTCTGCTATCCTTGTGCATTTGTTCTAGATCTACGTTTGAATGATGCAAAGTTGCAAAAGATCTGGTGAAAGCGGTCCCAAGCGCGTAGCTGGCGGACGTGAGCGGCAATCACTTTCAACCTCACGACAGCGGTCTACTGATTATTGAAAGCATGGTTTTGTTTTATTCTTTCGATCTCATTGCGCACCGTACTTACACCCCAGTGAAAAGCAAGTGGTATCCTATTTTTTGGTTCCGAAAAGGGCCATGAATACCTGTGTTGCGTCCTTGTCGAGTCGGCACATCATTCTCTGCTTACCTGAAGAATTTGTGAACAATCTAGAAGCAGATTCAATGGGAAAGTTTCGGGAAGCAAGTAGTGCATCTGCTCAAAGGTATCCTCACGCATTTGTTGACAGTCTTTCTGGCGCACGGATCGACACTTTTCTTGGGTAAGCTTTCCATCTGCAGACCGCACAAAATAAGTAATGTAAACGAAATGCAAGCAAAGGTTCGTTTCTTCCAAGAAGCTTCTGTCTACCCGTTGTATGTTTCTGGTCTTTGTAGGGGGGCAGCGAACCTCGAATGTATTCTTCCAAGCTCTGACAGACAATTCATTTACGACTCTCCATTTCTGGATCTCCTTAGCGCCAAAAGCCCTTTGTCACGGTCTATTTCCAATTCTTCTTCCTTCCGTTTTCTTCAACCAGCCCCCTTCCCTTTCCGTCCAGATACTACGCGCTCTCACTGGGCTGGCGCCTCACCTTCCCCAAGCACGTGTCCCGCAAAGTCGCCACGCAATGCGCGTCACTCGTGACGTCAGTCCACCGCCCGTTCGAGCACGGCTGGGAGCAGGACCATCGCGTATACAACAAGGGCGTCGAGAAGGGCTGGATCCTCAGCCGCAACGCGGCCGGTTTCACCGCGCCAAACCTCGACGCCGAGGCTTGCCTTATGGACGTTCTGCGGCACACTTATCCGACGCTCGAGATTGCTCTGCTGTGCGCGCTGACCGTCGGATGGTTGGCTGTCGCGGTAGTGGTTCTCTGCGTGGGGGGCTGCTGCGCGGGCGTGCTCGCGCTGGGTAGCGAAACGTGGGACGCGCGCAAACGCGCGCGGCAGCAGCAGTATCCGCAGACCCCGGTCGGTGTGAAGCCGTTCGCACCGGCTGGATATACACGGGAACCATATTATGCCCCTGGTGCTGGCAGGGTGTGATCCCTTCAAGGCAAATTACCACCTTATCGACATGGCAAGCATTACTTTTAAGATGGTGTGGGGGACAAGGGGAGTAAGCGTACCTTCGGTTGCGAAGCTTTGTCGCGAGTCGTCATTGAGCGGTGATCTAATTAAGGTGTTTCTGTTTTAATTCTCAGCAGAGTCTAGATAAGAGGTTTGTTAAGTACGTTAGAGATGAGCTAGCACGTATTCAAACGCTTATGACCAACTTTTATAACGAACTGCACGTCGATAGAAGGAAGAGCTCAATTTAAGATCGTCTCTGAATTTGTTGTCTGAGCAAACTGATTTGACCTAAATCGGAAATGCAAGTGGCTCCTCATAAGCGCGTCCACAATTGCGTGTCTAGGAAAGGCAGACCATGGGCTCGCGAGGAGTTGGATTGAGAGTTTGGAAATGCTTGAAAGGTGTCAATATCTAGAATCGGCTAAGGATTCAGCATCTGCATGTTGCAACGCCCTGCATTTAACCTACGACGGCTCATGGCATGCTCGGAGATCAATGATACGTGCGCAAGAACCTGCCAGTACGCATGTATCTCCTGTCTTGACACAGATTTTTTCGCATCCGCCAAAAAGGCAGATGTTTCGGCACAAAACTTCGGAAGCACGGCGATGAACTCACTAAGTCATCAAATCCAAGGGAGGTTGGGGACTGCCCCCATCGATCAACGCTTCCGAACCTTTGTATGAGCGTGTCTCCTGTGATCGAGACGCAATGGCAAGGTGCAACTGAGCCGGCCGCGCGGCCGGCCGTTGTCCGATAAACCCTTCAAAACCCCGGGTGGTTCGGCGCGCTCCAACACCTCTGCGCGGCGCTCGCCGCCAAGAGCAGCCGGGTCACCGCGAGCTGCGCCCGCTTAAATTTGATACTGCAAAAAGTAAGGTACTGGAAGATGGTGAGAGCTTGGTATGTTCAGATCTTCATGTTGACTTCGAACGTCTGGCGACAGCCGAATGCAGACGGACATGATGGAGGCGGCACCCGCTCGCTCCCAGATAATTGTAAAGCTCCTCTTCTTCTTCTGCACCTGTCCTTTGCTGACGCACAGCATCGCTCAGAATGGTGGCAACTCGACGAGTCGCCTTAGCGCTAGCCTCTTGCCACTTCCGGAACCGACTTTGGTCAACGAGTATCTGCGGAGCAGCTTCTTCAACAGATACAACAGAGTCGACCCAAAGGGGATAGAAAAAAGGAGAAGGCACGTCCGAGTTTGTTCAAGTCATCAGATGCTAGTCCCTTTCCATGGGGCCAAGCTTTGATTTCTACCAAGTGCAAGCCCCCGACCAATCTTGCGAGCGTCCTCCACCGTTGACGAGTAATGTGCATAAACGAAGAGTCCGTTGGCCATTTTTGCTGCTCAGCTACGTCTCTCTTACCGTAGGCTTCATGTTTGTTCCAAGATTTGTGGCCCATCTAGTAGCTGTTGCGGCGAGCTTTGCGTTTGATATTATCAGGGACGATCCGTCCGCGGACGAACCTATTTTCCAGACACTTGATTCGTTTCTCAAGGCAATCGTATCCATCTCAGCCGTCTTAGCCGCTGTCTTTACCAGCACAGCAGCACACTGCCTTTGGCCAGAGACCTACTTTGAGCACACGGGCCCGGTTATCCTGCCAGACCCTAACCAAGGACTCAACCAGTACCTTGCTTCCAAGCTAGGTGGAGGCAACCTTAGTTTGCAGCTATGCACGACGGACAACCTATCTTTCTACGTCGGGTTCTCGTACCCCTGCGCGCGGTTGGGGGAGCCTTATGGTGACCTGACGCCCCTTGTCCCGGAAAAAGAGCAAATCCACCTTTGTTCAGAATCTGCGACGACCTTCTTCAGAGTGTGCGCGATCACCACAGGTGCCATGGGAGTAGTCCTTGGTGTGGGGTTGCTGCTCCCGCTTGCTATTATGAGGCTTGCTGACTTTTGTGAGAGACGCTTGGCCGCAACACGGCAGGGGTTGCACCATGATTAAAGACGAAGGCTCAAGGTTGCTCCCTCTAAGTTGCTACATGACTCCGCCCAGCTCTTGTAGTGCAGACTTTAGGATAGAAATCTTTGAGCAGCTTTGCGTGTTAGGCTGTTGACTACTGGACAGTGGGTTCATTTCTTACTATTGCATCTCTCCGACGCTAAGACGCTCGAAGACCTGCAAATTTCAAAACTGGTATTTTCAGTAGACTCCTTCTAGCCAGACTCCAGTCGAAAGCCGCGACAAAGGAGAACGGTAAAAAGGGATTTGGTATTTCAAGAATGCCGAATGAAACACCATAGTGGCCTGCCGGTCTCGAGAGCGAGCTCTTTTGCGACTCAGCATGATATACCCGTCAGCAATACTGCATCTTAGCCGTATGATACTGGGATTTGTATGCATCACCAATTCTTGTCCATGAATGGGCTTGCAGGTTTTTCGCAGCATTCGAATTTGAGTTACTCGGGTCTTCGTCCCGCATATATGCAAATGAACTTGCAGGTCTATTTGCAGCATTCAGATCTGGGTTACTCGTGTCTTCGTCCCGCATATACGTAAATGGGCTTGCAGGTTTTCACAGCATTCAATGCTGGGTTACTCATGTCTTCGTCCCGCAGATATACAGGCGCTTGAAAGAATCGAGGACGATTCTAGCTAGCTGAAGAGCAATATCCGCCTTGTCTTTCAGCGCTGGTCCGAAGCAGGCCAAACCACCGTGTTAATATATCTCAACTACAGTATTCGAAAGTCGAAAATGACGGCGAACATAACAAATAAACCCCGTTCTAGCACCGCCCTTCTCTCAAGGTACTTCTCCAAATAAGCCCATCACATGAGTTTACGCGACCTCGTCAGGCATTCGCGCACTTTGCTTTAGAACCATATGCGCGCATCTGCAATGCTTTTCAAACAAACACCTCGACTCCTTCAAAACCTCGTCGAGCAAACCACCGTTCAACAGTTCGCAAAATTTGCTTCGACCAAATCCACATGTGCACATAATCCAATCCTGAGTCCGCACGTCAGGTGAACTTTGCAGCGACGAAAACTCAGTTCCGAGCGGACTCTGACACATTCTGCTGCACCAAGTCGCTGCAATGGTCGCATGTCAAAGTCCTCAGAGTCTGGAAAGGGCCTTTCCACTCCTTTTTTGAGCGACAGTCGCATGACATTCTCTCCTATCGGGCTCAGTGTGAGTATCAGCATTGTGCTCTCTCTCCCTGAACAGACTGTACGACCTTTGATGAAGCCTTGTTGCCCCGCCTCGTGGATCTGATCACTGCCTGGTCAGCCCAGATCCAACGGCTGCGAGCTTCCGTCGGGAGTTTAAATGTGAAAAGCGCATTTGAAGTCGAAATGCGGCGGGTACCGGATGCTGAATTCCCGACAATGCATTGGGGGACGTGCGAGGGTGGCGGCAGGGATAGCGCGCGCTGAGCGCGGAGATGCCTTCAGCTGGCGGCCCAGCTTGCACTCATCTGTGCCTTTTTCAAAGGGTGCCGCGTCGCTTGAGGACAAACCTTCAGTTCCAGAGAATCCACTCTTCTACGGCCCGGAGCAAGGAGGATCGGAAGAGCTGCGAACTGATTTCCCCACAGTCTGCTTTCCAGCCACTGTCCAAAGGACTCGTACGAGCGAATCATCTGCAGACACAAGTATTCCCGTTTGCATCTTTCATAGAAGTTAAGATATTCTCAATCACACGTCATCGGCCTTCACTCTTCCGAACCCAGTGCCGTCGAGCGGAATTCGGGCCGCCGAGCCGCGCCCCGGACGGTGTGATTGATTGTTGCACTTGTGCGAAGAGTCGCCCCCCCGTCAGCAGCGTGCGCATCGACGCTTTTCCCTCCTCGAAGTTCTTCCCCTACTTATTCCTGATGACATTATCCCGACTTTCTTTTTTCAAGTAATTCACCCGCCAGTGGGGCCGCGCTGTTGAAGTGGAAGATAGAAGTACTTGGACGACGGCGCTCGTGGGGGATCCCTTTTGCACGGCGAGTGCGAGCGTCGGAACCGGACTCGACCTTTGGGGCGGGGGCGCTTCTATGCAAATGTGCGCCGCTGTGCAGGCTCTTCCGACGGACCATCGCCGGGTTGAAGCATTTGGGAATCGTCTGGGTTTGGCACTATAGCGGATTCATTTCCAGACTCCTGTCGCTCGCCGGTCGAGCAGGTCAAGCTCTAGTTTCTCGCCTTCAAACTGCAGCTTCTCTCCCCACCTTGCTCTATCCGACACGCCCCTCCGCAGCGCTCGCCGCCCTTAGCCTGGTACGGCGGGCGCCAAAACCCCCAATCCTCACTCGAAGCGAACGCCCAGGAGTCCTGCACCGCTGCTTCAGCCGCGCGCGGCCGCCGATCTAGCAGAGTATGGAGCATGGACTCGAGGCCAATGAAGGCGTACTCGCCGCGCGCGGCTCGGAGGTTTGGAGGCTTGGCGAGCACGAGCGGCTTTCGCGGCCGGACAATTGAGCGCGACGCGCGGGCGCGAGCTCGAAGCTCTCAGTTCACGCAGTTCACGGCACCGCAAACTACTGTCACGGTCAGCGCACCCGGCCGGCGCGGCCGCGAGCGCGCCCGGGGCATGGGTAGCGATGCGCTGCTAGCCCAGCCTTGCCCCGGTGCCAGATAAAACTGCAGTCGCTGATGTCAGGGCTGAGAATCATTGCATATTCGGCGAATCTGCAGAAGCGCCGGCTCACAGCCTTACTAGCAAGCTGGCTTGCAAGAAGCATCTGCTGAAACGTGCAGTGACGTATATCAGCGCATTAGGCGGAGCATGCAGGAACACGTGCAAGATTTCCCTTTCCTCACATGCTGAGCTGCAAGCGCAAGACGACTATCAATAAGCATACAGCTTACACGGGTGACTACTGCTTATAAGAGTCATTTCCGCTTAGCTTAGAATGAACTCGCAGTCAGCGCCCTTTAGCAAACCTCCTTCCGTGTCAAGTCAAGCACGCAATTCTTCTCAATCTGTTGCATCGGAAGCTGCGCTAGCAACTGAATCGCGCTTGGCATCCAGGACGCCCATTTAGTGATCAGCCACAACTGCAGAGCGGTTGACATCACACTGAGAAGTTGAAGCTTCGAAGATTGTTCTTGCGAAACTAAGGAGCGTGGGGCTCTGCTGAAGTCTTAAGGTACGAACGTTGAATCAGTTTTCTTTCATCTTCCAGCTCTCTGTGCCTGTTGCTTTCCTCAAGGTAAAGACAAGCTGTCTGCTGCTCTCAAAGAAAGTGTTCCTCGAGACGAGAGTGCATCTGAACCTCTTCCTTCTGAATCGCTCCCGCGAATACTTGCTTGAGCTGCCGTTTTCATCTGAGCGAGTGAACAAAGCCATCTTGTCAAATTATATGCGCTCTCTTGAATTTTGATGATTTCTGAGCACTAGTTCGCCGGCCGGTGATGACTTTTGAAAAATACCTCCTGGTTAACTTTACAGCAAAGTCATTTGCTCTCACATCTGCTCATTTCGCATTCCTCTGACTCAGACTTCATCGAGCTGTACCGATAGTTTTCAGAAGATGGAACTAACGGGGTTCAAAGGCACTTAGAATTGTCTTTGATGATAAGATTGAGAATCCAGACTACAGAAATTGCAGAGGAACTTCTCGACATTGTTGAGTGGATCGTTAACTCAAACGCTGGTATTAGGGAAGTGAACGGTTCGCAAGTCTGCATACTTCTCAACGTTCCCTCCTACGTCCGCAAATCACCCGTGAGCATACGTCATCATCAGAACTTCCACCTGTCAGCCCGTGCCATGAGAATGTCTCGGAGTCTGCTGCTCCTGAGCGTCCTCGCGGTGCTCCTGGCTGCTCGGGTGACGTCAGCTCAGGATTTTATGAACCCCAGCTTAGGCTACGTTGCGGTGCTTGTGGCCGCTCAAGGGACGTCAGCGGACTCTTCCGACGACTCTTCCATGGACTCTAGTTTGACCTACAGCTTTTGGCGCGACGTGAAGAACCCCAACCAGTGAGGGCTCAGTTCAGCTCTTGTCGGCCATTGCTGTTCTTGAATCCGACACGACCGAAAATCGTGTGTACAAAAGTTGTTATTGAAGCTCTTGTGTGGTCTATCTGGAAGTGCCACAATCCATGTCTGGGGCTTGTTCAGACAAATTTGCTGGCTGTATGAAGAAACCATGGGGATGAACTCCAACGAGACTTTTTTTCTGCATAGGACTCTTGACGAGACTTCACGTTTGCTTTTCTTTGGTATATATATAGTTCCCGCTTTCGTGGTGCTGAGATTCTGGCCAGTCACGAGTCTGCATTGCGGCTCTCTTTCAGCGGCGAGGCACATCCTCAATCTCTCGTTAGCCCTAAGAATCAACAATCGCAGGTTCTAGCCTTATTCAAAACTGTTTTATCATCAATCTCTGCACCCCATGTTTTTAGTCGATGAATATCCTGCCCCCAGGAATGTCCAAAGCTTGAAAACCTCGACTCCAGCTACAAAAGAACCGCCATCGCTAGCTCTGCTCCAATATTGTTCTTTTCCTTCCTTCCAGGTTTTACGCGGTCTCTACTTCATGGCGCCTCTCCTACCCCAAGCACGTGTCCCGCAAGATCACCACACAGTGCAGCCAGCTCGTGACACCTGTCCACCGTCCCTGGGAAGGCGGCTGGGTGCACGACCACAGTGTCAGCAACCGGGGTGTCGACAAGGGCTCAATTTCAAGCCGAAACGCGGCCGGGGGTACGGCACCAGACTCGGAAGCCGAGGCGTGCTTCACAAACGTGTTGCGGGACACCTACCCTTCGCTCGAGATTGGGCTGCTGGCGGGGTTCCTGGTTCCCATAGGCATCTTGATCCTTCTATGCATGTGCTGCTATTGCTGTGATAGGTGATCGATTGCAAGGGAGGCCATACGATTCGTTGGATGGTTTGGAAGGGAGGTTATAGGATTTGTTGGATAGTTAGAAAAAGACTGACCGCTGTATAAAGATGCCCTGGCAAGCGCCGGGCTGGTTAGTTGTAGGCTCGAAATTGTTGATTACTTTGAGTTGCCACAGCAGTACAGCATGCAGCTGTAGACCTTAGCATAATGACAGTCTTGATTGATGTTAAGAGCCAGTTTACGAATACCTAGCTTGGAAGCGAGATGCAGCACTGATCTGACGTGCATTCTTCGGCTTACGCGTTTTTCAGAGTAATATACCTAATCTTAACTGTGTGAAGATGGAACTTGCATCATGAGTCATAAGCAATGTAATACGTGCTATCGTTATACATGCCTTTTGATACATGTCCTTGGACCAGAATCATAGAGCGCGCATGACGTGAACGGTATATGAAGGGAAAACATCTAAACCGTTGTTAACGAAGGGGCCTTTGATGCTGATCGTCTACTTCGGAGTCGGATGTCTCTCAAGACCTAACCTACACTACTCAGTCGGTGTGTTAGTATCTCGCGAAAAGCTCTTCCCTGATTGGCGCTCGATATTTTCGTTGTTGCAGGGTCCTCAGAAATCGGATGCCACAGACCGTGACGTTTATCTGCACTGCTCTTGTCACGCTCTTGTTATGGAACCGAGATACTTTCAAAGCAACACGGGAGCCAAAATGGGGCTGCAAATTAGGCTGTCTAATCTTGAACCACCTACGATTGCCTTCTTGAGGAGGGGCGAATGACGATTGAATGCTGACTTGGAAGCTTGCACGGGTCTGGCTGGTCTAGCTGGCTGTCTCGGCAAAACTGTCCAACGACGATCTCTCGTGTTCCCAAATATCCTCTGCTGGTCGTCATTATGCGCATGCTGGCACGGAGGTTGGAGAAGAGGGGCAGCCACCCGGGCAGCAGACGAAGGTCGTTCCCTGGGCGTTGTAGCACTGCAAAACGCGGGCACCGGCATCGTTAAAATGGGACTAATCAAGCATGGGGAACGCGGCAGAACATCCTCAATAAGTCGTAGCGCTATCAGTCTACTTGTTGGACGAAGATTAAAGGAAGGCCAGAAGCAAACGGATTCTGACCGCCGATCGTCTGTGTCAGTGAGATACACGGGGGATGTTTGATTGACGAAAAAACGCGAAATCAATAATCTCGTCAGATAACCAGATTGGTAGCGGATGTATCAAAGTCGTATTGCTGAAAAGGATGTCAGCTTGATCAGAGGAGCTCACAACAGGTCAGGCCCTTATGACAGCCCTAGCACATCAATACACGTGGCAAGTTACCCACCTGATTCGGGAGCAGCGAGCTCGAGTCGCAGCTTTGAACGTTACCCTGCACGGCCAGGCAGACGTCAGAAACCTGCCACGTGGCGAAAGCTGATGCTTCCCGCTCGTGCGAGTTGTGATTCTGCTTCTTGCCGCGAGGCTGGGAAAATCCATTTTCCCTTCGAATGTCAGTGCATAAGCGAGCGCTCTTCTGAACGGCTGGAAAGGGGCGCATTCTTGTGAACAAAAGGATCTTGTAATTTCGGCCCCGGACCGGGCATCCCCGACCCAAATATGCCACATGCCATTTCCGAACTTTCAATGCGTTTTGATGCAGTATTTCGGTAGTTGCGGGCTTCATCGCTTATGTCAGGAGGCTGGCAGCGTCTCATGGGACTGATACAAGAAGGCCTGCATTGCCGCCTGATCGACATGTGGTGCGCTCGATGATCGCCCCACGTCTCTATAGACAACCTTCAGCTCCAGCCTGCTGCTTTTTAGACAGTGCGAGGCACGGAAAAACCTGCTGCCTTTCAAAAAGTGCGAGGCACGAAACGACCTGAATAGCTTCTTTGGCGTCAGAAGAGACCGACATTAGAATCCCGGAAGGAGAGAGTTTTGGTGCGCTTGCCTGGAACAGAATGATGGTGCGCCCGTTGAGCGGCTGGACCGGGCGGTTGTTCACCCGGGACCCTTCTCCATGCGCGAGCGCAAATTGGAGCTGGAGGCAACACGTGAGAGTATGAGAACGTCAGCGACCCGGCTGTGACATCTGTCTGTCTGTCAGCCTTTCTTATCACCAAACGTACGCGTGAGCGAATTGAAAGCCGCAGTGGGTCCCCGGAATCGCATTCTTGCTGCGGATATACCGTAAGCTTACAGGAAAGGACCTCGTCCAAGGAAGCGCAACCCACACTGGCTTCCTATTCTCGGACCCTGATGACTCGAGCTGATTAAGCGTTTCCTTTCAGTCATCATGAGAAAAGCGCATCTTTGTCAGTGAAGACGGCAGCAGTTTCCTCTCAAGCGCTAAAGGGCGGAGATGCGAACGCTATCCGATCTGCTGACGACAGCTGTCAAAAGATTGGGAGATCTGGATCCATGTCTCACCTTCATCAACTGGGACGAGGAGATGTCAAGTGGGTTCTTCATCACGAACCAGAGGACGTTCTCGGAACAAGGGGGCGTGGTCAGACTGCCGCTCAAGTGGTAGTAGCTCCTCGACGCGGGAAGCAGACTGTTCAGATTGAGGGACTGGCGGATAGCCTGCATCACAAACATCACAGAGACGTTGCTTAGTTGCCATCGGACGATATGTTTCCAAGACCAAAGGAGGTTTTGGCTGGCTGCTAACCAAGCTGAGTACCAGACTTGAGTCTAACGTTATTGAACAGATAATCGGGCGATAACCTTGTCCCAAGACCGGTTACCGCCCCAAGACCGGTTACCGCCCAAGTCTGGTTGTTGGACATATGAGCACTTTTCTAACCACCCCATAAGCAACCATGACCATCCTTGGTTAAGGGCCGAAATCGCCTGTAGACGGATGCATCAGGCATTGATCATTGCGATGTGTGTTTGCTACACGTTTGTTCGATGGTGAATTCTCGAATCGCAGCACTAAGTTGAAGCGTTTCCCTTCAATGTTTGCTTCTTCATTTCATACATAGCCGGAACCATCGCCGCAACAAGCGCGAACGCTGCCAAGAAGCCTTCGTACCTCTGAGTTGGTACCGGCATCTTCAGTAATGTTGGGGAAGAACGTGCCGAGCTCGGGGTTGTCGGAGTCGTCCGGGGAAAGAGAAAAGAACACTCCGATGACTGCCAGCTGTCCCGTGACCGGATCCTTGTGAACGAAGTGCACTTCCGCCGGGAAATACTCGCCGTCCAGAGTGTACTCACTGCGCCAAAAAAGCTAGGATTCAGTTAGTTAAACGACGGGGTTAAGATTTAGGTTAAGAGAGGGGGTCAACGGAGACTCCGCTTGGGTCAGCCGATGAGAAGCTGGGTCAAGCAAGGTGAGGAGGGCCGGGTTCAGAAGCGGGTTAAGGGGTTGCTTCAGGGTGCGGCTTTTGTTCTTTATGATGTTACTAGAGCGGGCCTCTGAAACGACGGAAACTGCAATCATCACTTCCAGACGAGTTACCAAGAAATAGTCGCCGAGACCAAGCCCTGTTTTCTGAGTATTGCGGACTGATTGTCAGCCACTTCTGTAACGGGGCGACTCGATGGAACACGTACCTGGGCGTGTGGAAGTGGAACTGGGCGAGGGTTAAGCCGGTAGAGTTTGCTGGGGGCGTGTAAATGTAAGAAGGAACCGTGAGCGTGTTACTCCCGTTGATCATAACCTGCAGGGCAAGCGGTCCGCCATCCATCAGACGAAGGGTAGCAGATCCTCCTAATATTGTAACCCGGAAACGTATCCCTGTCATTGAAAGACACGGTGGCTCGCGCAATGCGAAACTCGAGAAAAGTCCCATGAGACAAATCGCAAACCCCGTGCCCGTCCGAGTCTGATGCAACAGCAGAAAGACGCCCGAGAAGAGCGCGTCCCTTGGCTCCTCAGGGTGATGTCATTATCGCTGACGTCAAGTTTGCAGCCTCACCTGGACAGTGACCCCCAGGTTCTGCACTTGGAAATCGATCAGGGCGCTGTTCCATGTGATAATCAGCGCGCCGGGGTCGCTCGACGGTACTGCCGCACTATCTTCAATCGCCACCGGAGATTGTTTCTGCAAAAGGGCAGTTGCGGATCCAAGATGAGGACTCCTCTGGTAAGAGCTGTTCCCAACCTTTGCTTACGTCAGCATGCCATCACTGCTGACGAGGTCACGCATATGTCCGGGGTTGCGATTCTCCGAGTGCGCAGGCATCGTTCTGCACTCTTGCATGGTGAAGGATGAGACCTCAAGACCACAAGAGAGGAAGTTTGTCTTGTTATTCTCACCGCACCCTAGTAGGGATGAGACATCACATGTCCAGTATTGTCATATTTAGGCTGCTTAACTCTGTTCTGAGGCCAGGTTGAACCGAGCTTCCTCTAGGATAAGCTATTGCATATGCTTCAAACGCTTTTCAAGACTAGAAAGAAAAGGCAGAAGTCTCACTTGTCCATTGTCACATATGGCATTGGCGGCAGACAGCCCCGCCCAATCAGTCCCCCCTAGAATGTGGTTCCAACCAGGTCCCGCATCGCAGTCGACGCCTGTTGAAAAGCAGAAAGGATCCATCAGAGGTTGACTATGAAGGAGCATTCGCTTATCAAACTGAACTAGTTGAGGACCCATTACGAGGACCTAAATGTTCACATACTTGGATCTCGAAAAAGGGAACACCACCGATTTGCTTTGTTATAGGCGAAACAAGGGACTGGTGAGCTTCAAGCATCCAGGAACGTATAGGGATTCCTTTGCTGCAGCTTGCAATGATGCTGCGAACTGGGCATGAAAAAGCTTTGAGTGAAGCACCATGTGGGTGAAGCACCAAGTCCGCGCATGCGTTCTTGAGCCTGAGATAGCACAGATTGATTAATTCTGAAATCCCACACAAAGTTAGGAGGCTTGCCCAAGTAAGTCACACTGTCTGTTGAGGATGGTTGCCATGGTTGTGCAGTTTTTTGGTTCAGGCCCCACTACCAGGCTAACTTGACCAGGTTCATTGTCAACCAAGTTCTGAAAGAGTAGGATCCAGATAGTAGCAAGGGTGACAGGCCTTACCTCCAGCCAGCATGACGACTGCCGCAATAAACAAGAACAGGGCTGTTTGGAGCGCCATTCTGATGCCTGCGACAATGCCAAGAGACTGACCTCATCAGCACCATGTTTAGGACATTCCAACAAGTGGAAGTGAGCTTGTGGAATGTGAACACCCTGTACTATGTTATGTGCTCTTTACACAGTCAGCACTCCCCCTGAGTTTTTTGTTTCTTTGCTTTTCTTCTTCAGGCGTCCGTCTGATCAAGCGGTTTGTTAGTCAAGCGGTGAGAATACCAACCGGTATCCAGCATTCATAAATGCTGAGTGGCGCATTGCAGGTGTGTCTGGAGGTCTCAAATGATTGTAGATTTTGTGAAAAGAGCAATCTGCATGAGATAGGACTGACAGCGACTGTGCTTAAGAACCCTTCAGACCACCTCATTGCTAGGAAGACAAACGACGGTCAGCTTGCATCCTTAGCTAGCTTTTCAAAGAAGCTCAAGATTGTCACTGTCAAAATCCAGCTCAATTGGAAGATGAGCCAGCCGAAAGTCACTGCAGACGTCACAAGAGCAATCCACAGGCAAGTTCTTGGTCGACACTACTGATAGAACCAGCTGAAAGCAGATCGTAACGCTTAGAACTCACCTGGAAGCTAGTACGGCAGGGGACTGTTTGGTGCGCGAAGGATTCGGAAGTCAGGAGCGAAAGAATATGAGCTGAACGGTGGGCAATGTGGGCAGTGCTGCAAGAGAGGAAGAAGCTCGCGGTTATGAACGCGTTTTGCGGAATGTGGCGAGAAGGCAGCACCTCTTTGGACTTTAAAGCTGCCGACAGGATGAAGGGAACGTAACCACTCCAAAAGGGGGTGTCTTACTTTATCCTGAGTCGAGCAGGCAGTGCCAAAGTCCCAGTATTGTGAAGCTACGGCCTTGAGATCCTCGAGACTAATCATTCTGTGGTCAGAAAGGCTAGCTAGCTTCGCCATTTTCCTGGTCGAAAGGACAAGGGCTACCTGTACGACACAAGGGTAAGCCTGTTCCGTGAGTGTGTATCCAAAGTAGACCGCTTTTCACTGGTGGAGTGAATGGATGATGCATGGCACGTACCAAGTGTGCATTAGGTGTCAAGTGAGTCTGGCTTTTTGATCCTACTTTTAGGGACTGTCGAGGTAGTGCCCCGTGGCGGTGAGCACTGTGAACATGATTGTGACGATGTAATCTTGTCAACAATGACAAGACTCTGACACTGTCAGAGAGTCTACCAATCACCTACATTTCAGCTCACCCATGTGAGCCACATGAAATGCTTGTCAGCCGCACCCTTCCCTGATAGTGACTGATAGCTCAGGTTTCCACAGTCCAAGTTCCAAGCTTGGTACCGTGGTGACTTGGGAATTCATCTTTTAATAATTATTTTGACTCAAGACGAAAATTCAGAAACTAAATTGGACCCTGAGGGAGAAAAGGAGAAACAACAAAAATATTAAAAATCAGCTCAGATTGCTGCCAAACAAGGCAAAAAAATCAAAATTTCAAATTTGGAGAAATGTAAAATATTATCTCGCATCGCCGGACGAAACCTGAAATCTTTCGAAAATAATTATTCGCGGCGCTTGGGAGTGAATTCCCAAGTCACTACGGTAGTACCTAGGTAAGTACGGTAGGACTGTACTGGGAGTGGCTTAGCCTAGGTAGAATTCGGGTTACGTACCTACTACGCACATCCACACGGAGCACTCCAGGGTCCACAGGGACTGAGAAGTGAGGAGTCAGGAGTCAGGACCAGTGAAGTAGCGTACACGATGTACCTACGATACCGTATTCAACGTAGGTAGGTACGAAGTTACGTACAGCTCCGTAGGTTTTTTGAATCCACAGCCTGGATACGTACGGTTACCTGGCGGTAGAAGGTACGCCGACGGTACTTACTCTTGCGGTCTCAAGATTGTATGGTAAGTACGGTGGGTACGTACTACCGTACCTACATGCTGTGCAGTGTGCACTGGGACTTTGAACTTTTGAGGTGTGGACTGCCACTGGACTCAGGACTGTAGTACCGTACACTATAGCAACATATGGCGACATCTTTTAAAATCGAAACAGGAAGACGCCCGACCACACAATTCTCACCTTCCCGCATACTGCGCCGGAACTTCACATCTAACGGTGGTCCATCCGAAATCGACGGCGGCTGATGGTGCCGTCCAGATTCTCTGGCAGTCTGGACTCTGCCGACCTTGCTCAGGGTACACCTAGTACAGGGTAGTCTATGCAAACCGCGAGGCTACATGCAGATCCATTCCTGTAAATTTGGAGTTTGCAGAGGTCACATTGCGTGATCGCATGATGCACGCAACATGCACACCTTATGGCAGCTGTGGCATGTGCCCTAAAAGCTGTGTGCCCGGCCAGGTTTCATCACAAGCCCCGGGGGCAAACAACCAAAAACTATAACCCACAAATTGATGCGCTCTGCACCCAATTAACTCACCCTGTTACCAGCTTAACCCCAGCCCTCGCCCGGCTCAAATCACGTACTGCAGTTTTAGAAAGGATGCACGCAAGCACGCCCCGGCCGCAGTAAAGGCCCATCATTTGATGACATCATGCTTTCGGAGGTCGGACACTTTTCGAATCGGACCGTGAGTCTGCATTGGGGGCCGGGGCACTTTATGTCCGTAGGCGTCCGAAAGCGAAAATTTCCAACATGTGCATGCATGTCCTACGCCTGGCAGCATGCTGGCAAAGGGACGTTGCGCCGCCGCTTTACAAAACATGGAGGTTCGCGTCGTGTACGCTCTCCATTTCGAAGAGCACGCATCGACCGGTGGATCGTTCCATGCAGTCTGATCTAGCGGAGGATTCGCCACTCGAACAGCTTTTGAGCTTAGCATTGCTTCGACGGCAGGTGCGAAGCTCCCGGTTGAAGAATACCCGCATTGCATGCAGCCCAACTGATTCCTCATCTCGTATGACAGTCACGAAGGTCGAGGTGGGTAAGATACGTCTCGTATGAGGCGTCTGCCGGGACAATGACGTTCTCTGCAAAAGCTGGTCAACCGGCCGGCCAGCAAGGACATGCACATTGCACAACCTTCAGCAGAGCTGAACCCAACAAAGAAAACGGCTGTTCAGACAGCTCGCCCGAGCTGGACACGAGCAGCACTCGAGCTTGCATCGGAGAGCCGGCTCTCAGCTCCTTCAAGCAACGTCATATGCTGGGACACTCCGTTTCATTGGAGCTTGATTGAGCTGCTTCCAACTCCCCGAGCTTGGGCAATTCTGAAAGCTGTACATTTTTCGAAGGAGTCCCTTAGCGCCGGAATAGTATCCCGTCGAGAAACGTAACCTGCACTGAACCCGCCCGAAACAATGGCGTCTGCCGGATTGATCGCCCTTCAGGGCTCTGCTGTGCGCGGGGTGACGTCTGCATGTGGTTCCAGCAGCAGCGGCTTCCTTGATACTCGTTCCTGTGCGTCGCACAACCTGGCGCTTTTGGGCAAAACCCCAATTGCCGGTGCAAAGTCGGCCAGAAATGTCCGGAGGGTGGGATATCATGTCCCAGCTCCGTTTGTTTCCGAGCTCGTCTTTCAATGAGGAATACAAAGAAAAGTTCGAGTTCTGTCCCTGTGGCATGGGATTCGCGTTGCCTAGCCGTCTGTTGAATCCAGCATGATGCCCTCTTTAAAAGCTCCCTTGTTTGCAGCTTGCATGCAACAACAAGTTTGAGTCGTTGAAAACTCTGACTTGCCTCTCAGCAGCGTCGTGCATTGTGCATGGTGCAATATCTCCACAGTCTGCAAACACGTATTCAAAAACATTTCTGTTGCAACCTCTTGGGGTTGAGGAGTGTCAAGGAGTGGGCAATCTTTCTTGCTTGCTGCACGATCCAGCTCATGTTACCCTTAATGATTGTGGTCCTTTTAGTTGGTAGATTAGGAGATGCCTTCTGAAAACACGGCTTTGTTAGAAAGCGGCACCTATTCGCAACAGGTTCGTTTCGACCAAAGGCTGTTTGCCTTTCTTCGCGAAGCTCGTCTTTTACGAATTCAAAGCTCAATGTCCATAGGTTCCTTTGACAGCAAAAGAAAGCAACGAAGCTAGCCAGGCAGGCTTGCCTGTTCAATCAAAAGACTCCACAAAATTTGTCAGAATGGGATACTTGGTGGTTCCGTGGAAGTTCCGTGTATTCCGCCCATTTAAAACATCACAATGTGCAGGGTTTGAAGGTTCGCGCTGAGGACGATGGCGCGTGGCAGGACCCCATCACGACAGGCATTTCGAAAACCGTGGAAGCGGCCAGGAATGTGGTTAAGACTGTAAGACCAGCCGTTCAAACGGACCCCAAAAACCTGGAGCATGGAACGCCCTACCCTATTCAACAACAGGGCTTCCCGGGTGACGTAAGCGGCGAAACCCAACCCGAGATTCGAACCCACGATGCGATAGTGCGTCCCTAGTAGTGCGTCCTTCCAATAGCTGACGAATAGCCAAAACCGAGTGGCAGCTCGACGAACGGGCCAGGAAAAAAGAGAAGCTGAGGAATGGTTTTTAAAGGCATCCGTTTGGGCGCCAATTCAGATTCAATCGGTCAAGGCGTGTGACACTACTTCTTTGTCTGGGGTGGGATCCATCCTGCCTCAACTACATAGCTCGGTTGTGATTGAGTCATTTCCAACTCGCTTTCTGGCGGTTTCAGTTTTGGGCGAAGGTTGGATATCTGATGTCACGAGTGCCACGTATTTGCAGGAGTACAAGATGGACCCGAGGCCTGACTATGGACGGGACAGCTACAAGGGCCACAACCGGTTGCAGGACAAGGTAACCAGGCACAGTTTATCAAATAGCACTACCGTGACATTTCATCCTTCTGCACTTCCGTCAGGGGCGAGTCATAAGAGCAGCAATCAGGATTCTGCGAGTCGCTTTTTGCGTCGAAGTTGAGATTAATTTGGGGCCTCGAAGTCGACTCATTGTCTCATGAGATCGAAAACGAACGGCTATAAGAGACGTGCTTTGCAAAAACGAGCCAGGGCTTACTACAGCCCGACGAACATTCTGGCATTCTCGCGTTCCAACGGGTCGTGAACCGCCGTACATTCTTACGCAAGTACTTGTCTCGACGCTTCCAGATTGCGATTGTGACCGGCGGAGACAGCGGCATTGGGCGAGCGGTGGCGCTGGCATATGCCCGCGAGGGAGCCCACCTGGTTATTCCGTATTTGAACGAGCATGAAGACGCGAAGGTTAGTAGCTTAACCTGCAGGTTACGGAGTTGACCTTGCCTGGCTTACGGCAGCCCGCGAGAAAGCCCACCTGGTTGTTCCGGACTTAAACCAGCACGAAGATGCGAAGGTTAGAGGGCAAACGGCCGCTGCTCAAGGTCAACTATGAAAAAGCTAGTAACATAGCAGACACGCTGCTTCAAGAGGAGACTGCCCCGTCGTGTTTGATTGCAGTGGAGAGCAGCATTAAGCTTCTGCGTATCTAGTAACGAGAGAAGAAAGTGGATTGGTGATGTGTTGAAGCTACAACGAAGAACCTTGTGATACGAAGTTCGCAACCGGATTGCACTTTGTTGATCCCTTTCGTCAGTATTCTTCATGTAACTCTCAGGCTCGATTTCGACCATAAAAATGACACACGACCTACGTGAGGATGTTGCAAACCTTTCAGGAGATCAAGGAAGTCATTGAGCAGGAAGGAAGGGACTGCACACTGATTCCTGGCGACCTGTCTAAGGAGGAACAGTGCCAGTAAGTGGATCGACTTTCTCATTGGGTTGGTCGAATCATTTTCCCAAAGCGGAGTTGGACGAGCAAAACGGTTTGTGCTGTATTCCTTGCAGAAATTTAATAGCCGTAGCTGTTCATGTAGTTGCACAACAGGCGAGGTTGCGAATTTCTAGAAGCTCAGAGTAATTGTCAACTGCTTATACGACTCGGTCCATACATTCCGCTTCCGCTTTGATCTCGACGAAAAGCCGAGAGAAAACTCGTCGCAGCTCAATGCTGCGCGATGCGACTGTGCTTCTCCCACGAGCACTGGGTAGCTTCAGAAACCGGTAAAGCGCTTTGTGCACAACCGTCCGCTTGCCAGCAGGGATTGTCAACAGTGACCAGTAACATCTTCATTTAGCAGGCTGTCTTCATTCGCAGGAAGGTCATTGACGACACGCTCGAGAAGTACGGCCGGATAGACATTCTCGTCAACAACGCCTCCTTCCAGGTGGGCGCCGCTCTAGTTCCTCGGCTTTCCTGCTCAGCTCGCGCAGCTTGATTACCTTGGCAGCTCTTCGTCCTCGCTGGGTTTGAGATATAATCAGTGCCCTTATATCCGAATAATGGCGTGAGATGTTTGGCGCACGCGCAGACACCAACTCGAAATCTAACTCTTGCGCACGGATCGTTCCTTGGGTCCTGTCCTCCGCGTTTCACAATTCGGCATGAGAAAATGGAACATTCAACACTCTTCTCATGGCCGCTGTCCCCACCAGAAGGCCACATCTCGCTTCATCCTGTAACCCCCAGATCTCAATTCACACCGTTTGAAAACTTATTTGCAATACTCATATGGTGTACTTCATGACTCAAGACCGGTCGGTCTGATTGGTTGTTCCTGCTGTTCCGCAGGGCAAGCACGTGAACCATCTGGAAGAGATCACGCGCGACCGCCTCGAGTTCGCTTTCGACACCAACATCATTGCTATGTTCCGACTGGCCACGCTGGCATACCCGCACATGCGGCCCGGTTCTTCCATCATCAACACCACGTCAATCGTCGCCTACCAGCCCATTCCCGGCATCCTCGATTACGTCTGCACCAAGGTGAGCGCGCGCGCGCTTTAAGCGGCCGCGTGAGCGCGCGGCCACCGCAAGCGCGATGGGCGGCCGCGAGGGTGCAAAGTGCGGCGCGCGCTCTGCGCGAGTTTGCATCTCGAAGGTTGTTTAGTGCTGTAGTGGGAGGTTTTGATTCGTGAAGAACCGGACATGTGTCTGTTCTTGACAAAGGCCGCTTCAATATTAGGAACATCATGTGTTCAGAAAGTGCTCGCTTCCTAGCGACGAGTGTCGCTCGACTGATTGGCGTCACTTTGACAGCATATGACCGCTTCACATCCCGTCCGTCTCCTGGCGCTTTTGCCACACTTTTCTAGAGCAGGCGCCGAGTCACCGGTGGTGCCAACAGACTTTTCTGCAGGAAGCTGTTACCTACTGCCAATATTATCTTCCCCGGCTATACAGCGTCACCTTAGCTCTTGCTGACGTCACTCCACCTTGGCTCGACACAGGGCGCGATTGTATCCTTCACCAAGGGCCTGGCCGAGATGCTGATGGTGCAAAAGGGGATCCGAGTGAACGCCGTCGCTCCGGGGCCCATCTGGACGCCCATCACCGTCGAGTCATTCACGGAGCCGATGGTGAGGCGCTTCAGAAGTATGGCCGCTTATTCAGTGTCTTTTGGATTTTATCGACGGTTGAGACGACGGGTGAATGAGTCCTGTACGAGGTTGATTTGAGCTTACAAGCAGAGATCTCTATATCTGCGGCTCCCCTCTCTGCCGCTTCTGAGCGGAGAGTTTTTGCTTGATTATTGAAAACAAGGGTTTATCTTTTTGGGGATAATCTCGCTTGTCCGCGGCGTTGAGTCTGCTTCAGTCGACTGTGTCACAGTCCCGCCAAAGCACTGGCACTATGGCAAGATTGAGTTTCTTCTCTTTCGCAACACTCAAAAGCAATATTAGTACGTTGCCACTTGATGATGCGGCAGTTGTTATGCCTTTTGGAGAGCGGTACGCGGACGCAAGCTTGCCTGGTCTGTTCGGTAACGAATTTGAGTGAATCTTGATTGCTAAAGACAGGAAGCTGGGTGCCTGCAATCTCTGGCCTTTCTGGGGTAAAATTATGTCGCACGTTAAAAGTCGAAAGTAATTTTGGCCGTACAGGTGGCAGGCTTTGGCGGGCCCCAGACGCCGACGGAGCGCGCGGCGCAGCCCAAGGAGCTGGCACCCATCTACGTGTTGCTGGCGTCAGAGGAGGCGTCATTCATGAACGGTTGCGTGTACGGAGTGACCGGGGGACTGCCCATCAACTAGATCAGTATTTTGAGCCTAGCTGAGTTGTATGCATGCGCGCAATTTTAAACCCAAATGTGTAACTTGGATTGGTAGAGTTGAGTTGTGCAAGCCGTCTTGGGCAAGAATTTTGACGTGGAATCTGTAGATTTTTGATGCGGAGAGTGAGGAGAGGTGCGATCATTCGATGTGAAATTGTTGGTATTCTGTACAGAAGGTTGCATAAGGCCATGAGGCCAGCTCTTTTTGGTAGAGTTGTATAGATGGATCGTTGATCATTGTTCCTGGTCGACGATTTAACCAAATCTGTGTACTGTGTTGGAATCAGGTCGTTAAACCAATTGAGTCACTACTGTAACAAGTGTAGAACCATTAAGCGTTTTGAGAGGGATTTGAATTAGAATTGCGGGAGCATCCGATCTTGCTTAAACACGCATGGATGATTGGTTGCTGAACACTGCCAACCTTCTGGTTGAATGCATGGCATGATCAATACTAGGGGTGATCACCGCGTTTGCATCGAACGTTCTGCAATGATGCATGTGCCACGAGTTGACACATCATTGTCTATCCGACTTTTACCAGCCCAGAGAAAATTATTTGCAAATGCAGTAATTATCATGTATATGCGCCATGTACCGTACGTATCGAATTACGGTCATATATATGGTACTTGATAATTAAATCTGATGCTTGTAATCATTATATAATCGCGTCGTGGTAAAAATGTAAGTTAACCTGAAAACTCAAACATTTGCCGCGTAATGTTGGATTGAAATACGTCTGCACCGTCGTTCACAATGAAGCAGCTTGGCAATGATGTGCGACGTGTCGCTCACTAGGAATCTGTGTTTTACTAGCTTAAATACCTAACTTTAGTATAATAACAAATTAACATTTACATTGGAACATGCCGCTACATTCTAATCTACTATTGTGCAAGCTCTCTGACGCTGCGTAGAAACATGGACTTTGGTCTATGCAATGTACGTATAGAATCCTTCTAGTGACATGCAGCATCTACCGTCATGCACCCACAAATCTACGAGGCTTAAACGGCCAGATCAGATAATTGGTACAAAGCTTTCCTCCAAACAGGGTTGAAGTGTAAAAGTTCCTTGTGCCAAAAAAACCGATTGGGACACCACCTCATTGGCCGTCTGATGACAACTGAAACACAGAACCCAACTCCCTAGCCAAGCCTGCTTCTTGATCCGGTCGGACCTTGAGCAAATCTACCGGGCAACTCTAGAGCAGAATCACCTGAAATACAATCTATCTATTGTTTCTTTCCTGCCCAGTGCACATCAATCACCTCACTCCAGTCCTACCATAACTCATGCGTAAAACCTAGACCATCTATTCCCAGAATAAAATATGGTTGCTTTTGTTGCGGACAAAAGAAGCAAGAACCCGTCTATTTTCCTAGATTACAACGTTGTTACAATCAGACCGACGTTCCTTCAGAGGGAGCCGCTAGATTCGCGATCCCGGGCACAGATCCAACCCGTGCAATGGACGAAAACGCCCGCTTCCCCCCTTTCCTTGGAGGTCGGTCTGGTCTTCGTACAGGCGACATCAGAGACGCGGCCATGGCTGCCAGGTCGCCGGACGAGCTAAACGTGTTGCCCAGCAGAATGTCACTTGGAACCTCCGAGGCCCCGAATTGTTCCCCACTGCTCCCGGCCCCCGCGTCTTCAACCGGGGCGCTCTCCTGACCGTTTGCCGTCACCTCATGTGGGGCCGAAGAAGTGCCCGGGGGGTCGCTAACCGGGGCCGGTGGATCCGGCGCGGACTTCACTAACAAGCCGGGTATTAGTCCCTCCTCCGTACTCGACAAGTTAAAACCCATGGCCATAACCGGATTCGCGACCGCTATAAGCAGCTGCTCTACCGCCAGCGACTCGTCCCCTGTCTCCGTTCCGTCCACTTTCTCCCCCATCTCCTCATTCCGCTCCTCGTGGGCTGTCACCGCTGTGAATAGGCTCTCCAGCGGATTGTGCGGCCGGTTAGCCCCGTCATACGGCCCGTTCACACCAGTCCGTGCGCTCTGCGCCTCCTCTCCCGAACCCGCCGCTGCGCCCGCCGCCACGCCGCTGTCCCGCTCGTTGACGTCATTCCCCGAGCTTGTGACGAAGGCCGACAGCTTGTTGCTGCTGGCGACCCGTTTCCGGATGCCGCTGAGGATCGCTCTCTCGTCAAGCACTCGGTCGGCGCTCCGCTCTCTGTAAAGAAAGGCTTGCCGTTTGAGCAGCTGACACTCTCGAATTTGTGCAGCTTCGAGACTCTCTGCTTCTGTTTGTATGAAAGCATCCGTTGCACTATATTGCAGCAGTGGGTGGACATGGAGGCTTTTCCATGTTGGTAAAATGTTCTTGGAACGGGAGCGGAACACTTCAGTTCGAGCAAATCCTGGAGACAGAGTCGCGCTGTACTTTTCAATAGACAGTCTGCTTTCACATGAGGCCATGATGCACAAAACTTGCAAAGCCAACGAAGGAAGCTCTTCTAGCCGACTGATTGCACAGCAATAGTGACGTCAAGTAAGTGCTAAGAAGGTGGATTAGATCGATTATACAGACATTAGAATGTACCCCACCGGCTTCTGATACCGGTCAATGCTGTCCAGGTTATGCCCGCACACAGCCTCGTCTTGCCGATGCTTTCACAGAGCTCTCCAAAGCTTTCTCACGACAGATTTTCGTTGGGATCCGTCTCTCATTCTGACGGGTACCTTACTGCACCTACTCCTTCGCTTCTTAGATGATTGATCAGTCCGGTTAACACAAGACCAGACATCAAACCGACGGTTGGACCGCAGGCCACAGCTAACGTCTCCTCACCTCCGTGGCACCTTGGCTGCCGGCTTTTCCAGGTGGTCGATCGCCGCGGTGAGGTCATCAAACGACCCAAGGATTGACGTCATCCTCCGGGCCGGGCCCGCCGGGAATGGCGGCGCCTCCTCTTGCTTCTGCATCAGCTCATCCGAGTCGACCACTCCCAACCTTTGGGGTTTGCCAATGCGGCGGCCTGACTTGGAGTAGCGCACGCCGTCCGGGCCGATTGTGGAGCCGTCCAGGCTGCCGAACGAATCGGACCGATGGAGGGGCTCAGCCTGCAAAGGATGAAACTCGAGAAAGATAGTCAATATCTTGATAAGGTAACCGCACTGGGACGGGTAGGGTTCAGTCTGGGGGTTAGGGTGGGTAGAACGGGTGCGGAGCTAGTATTTTAGTGGGTAAAAAGTTTCCGCGTTAATCGGAGGTTATTATCGTCTTGGCTATTGTATCATATCCTTCTCGGGTTCCATCTGTAAGGGGAGGCTGCAAACTTCTATAAAGCTATACCCTTTCTTGATTATTCATTCAAAGAGTGGTTGCGCTGCATGCGACCCGGCAACGGAAGTCCGGAAACTTTCTGCATTCACAAAAGGATTAGCAGGAGACAAAGAGTACACATGACAGGCTTCTTTGCTGGACGCCTTGGTGGCCTCTATGATCAGTCAGTTGAGTTCTAAAAAGCGCATCCGTTTTTTAAAAGCAGACCAGATACATGAACACCAGAATCAAGAAGCTAAGTGCTCCACAGTCCCAAGGCTGGTCCGCGAGACCATAAAGCAATCTTTCCGGAAGTGCTGTCTTTCGACCGCGTCCCGAATGACCGGCACTACCAAGATCGTCGCCCCCCCTCACCGGTGGAACAGCATCCGACACCGCCACGGCCTTCGCCTCCGGCTTCCGCAGCGCCCGGGGGGGTCTCCCGATCCGCTTCCCCGACTTCGAGAATCGCGGCAGCACGCCGTTCTTGGCCGGTAACGCGTCCCCGGGCGCTCTCGCCCGCTCCTCGGTGGATTCCGTTCCGGCAGACGCGCCATCCATTCCAGCATCGTCTGGCAGACCCATGGCGGCGTGCTTCTCTCGCCGGAACTGGAGGATGGCCTCCTTGACCTGCCGCGAGGGGCGCCCCATGCGCTTGCCGTTCTTGGAAAAGGGGCGCTTGTCGAGCGCCGCGACCCAGGAGTCTTCCAGCCCAGACTCGTCTGCAAAGAGGAAGCGCATGTGAAGGTTAGGGTCTCCAGATTTGGACGAGCACAGGTTAGACAAGCAGAGATGTAATCGAAGCTGGAAGAAGGTTTGCAACGCGGAAAGTTGATCGAAGTCAGGACCCATGCAACGCAAACCTCGTGATAACACAAATTGCTGGCAGCCCAAGGCTAATCTAATGAACTACGGCTGGAGTAGAGTGCCGGCTAGAAGACGTTGAGCTTCTGGTTTCGTTCGACCTGCATGTTCTGGACAGTGCTATCACAGTCGCTTTGAACAAGGAGGCCAATATCTCCGCATGGAGAACGAATAGGACGTTGGCCATGTGATATGGGTCGCAGACGGACAGTGAGTATGAGCTTGAAAGCGAAACAAGGACTGACCTTCGTCGAACGACTGGTTGCTGTTGAAGCTCCCGCCTCTTTGTAGCCGCGGTTCCTCCTTCAGCAGCTTTGGCGCTCCCATCCGCGGCAGCGCATCGTCCACCCCTTCTCCCGCAGCCCCCGACTCGTCCCGCACTTTCTTCCGTCCGGAGCCCCACGACCCGGACCCGTCCGAACCCTCCAAACCCTGCGAGTCCTCGCCGACGCTGTCCGCGCCTAGCTCGCGCCGGCCGCGCATCAGGCTCTGTTGCAGCAGCGTGGGTGGCCGGGCACCCGGCTTTTTTACCCCCCCGTGCTTGGCGAGCAATTCCGGAAGCTGCCCCCCGTGCAGGTTTTCCACCTCGGCCATGAGCTCGATCATCCGGATCGGCGGCCGGCCCATCCGGTTCCCGTTCACCGAGAGCGGTCGCGTGTCGAGCGCCGCGAGCCTCTGCAGCGTGCTCTGCAGCACGCGCGCTTCGTCGCTCTTGTCCGCGCCCGCGTTTCCGAACGCCGTGCGCTTCCCTTTCTTCGCGGCAAAGCCCTCCGGCCCCTCCGCCTTCCGTTTCAGCCGGGCGAGGATCCCCCGGCCCTCCGCGCATCGCGGCGAGTCGGCTTCCGAGCTCTCTTCCCCGTTCTCCCGCGCGACTTGCCGGAGCTCCGCGGCTTTCGCCAGCGCTGCGCGGAGCTTTCCCGTGGACTTGAGCACCATGTTCACGCGCCGGTCTCTCTCGACCGCCTCTTCGGATGCGACTTCGTTCAAACTCCAGGGGGGATACTTGGAGCCCGGGGCTTGGGACTCGGGGTCGGGCGGACGGTTAAGGGCCGTGAGAACCTTGTGGCGGTAACCACGGAACCAGCGGTTGACCTGCTTGGAAATGCTCACGTGTAAGCATTCTTGACTGGTACTTGAACCTTTAGTGAGTCAGCAACCTACCCATATTGGGAGCGCGTGCAGTGGTCTCCGTTTGATCAAAGGCATGAGTTGGATTTCAAGACATCCGCCGCTCGGCAGCACAATCGACTCCGCCGAAAAACGTGGCAGTCAGAATCAAGGAATCTCTCCAGAGTTTGAAGCACGTGGAGAAGCTCGTTCTACGCTCGTGAAGCAGACGAGCTCTCAACCCTGTTGTTCATACAATGTTGCTGTCTGCATGCTTATTCGAAGGAATGAACGGAGGCCCACCTGATCAATGGGCAGCTTGAGCTGTTCACACAGCTCTTGCTTCTTTTCCAAGCTCGGCAACTGGTTCTCCAAAAAGGAGGTCTTCAACACCTGCATCAACAACAGCAAGGTTGGGTCAGGGATTTCTAGTGCTCACTTTCTTCAGCCGCATTGTGAAAGGTTCCAAAAGATGAGGCTCCAGGTGCCTGATCGAAGCGCCCACAAAGAAAGCCAACGGGAAACCCGCATCCCAGTACAGAGGAAGAACCGCTTTCATCGTTATAAGACTGCGTCTGAATATATCGAACAGAGTGTTGACCCCAATCACCAATACCCGTCTATACCACAACGCGCCCGCATTGCTTCCGCCCCAGGGTGCACTTCAGATAGCCACATTCGAGAACGAACGCTGGTTCCAAATGGGCCCGACCAAAAACTTACATTGTAAGCAACGTCCTCCAGCTCCGGTCGATACCTCGAAGCCCTCGCCTGCTCTGTCCGTGCATTTCCAGCCGCCTCCAGCACGCCGTTTGGTTTCTCTTCCTCGCCACTCTCCACCGCTTCTATCTTGACCTCCACAGCTCTCTCAACCTCCGCTTTCATACCTTCTGCTTCCCGAGGCTCAGCCCCTTCCCCTTCCCTTTCTTTTGTCCCCGTGTCCGCGTCCCCAGCCGCCGCGACTATCGTTTCTACTTCCGCCTCCTGCTTAACTTGAGGAAGCGCCCCGTCGTTCTGCGGCGGGCCGACGTCAGCTTTTGGTCGCGGAGCCCCCGTGACGTCGGTGGTGAAGAGGGGCTCCTCCAGCGCGTTTTTTGTCCGGCGTTTCTTGGCCGCTCCCTCCTCGTCCTCGTCGGAGTCGTCAGTGACGTCATCGAACCCGAACAAGGCCTAGCGACAAAACCGGAGTGTCAATGTTTAACTTTTGCACCCAGATGAGCATCCAATACCGCCCTCCATTGCCTCATGGAGTACAGCCAATAAGAACAGGCGCCACCGACATATGCGAGATGCAGAATGCAGATTCACAACCTGAACGTTCTTGCAGCAAGCTGACGGCCTCTATAACCGTGTAGTAGTTCAGCTGCTACCACCGAAATTTCTATCCGGGAGTATGGTAATCACGGCCAGCCTCTTGACGATCTGGGCGTGTCAATCTCGTTCTGAATTCCTGTCTCAATTTCCAACCGAAAGCAATGACGAATAGCTGGAACTCTGACGTGTTCAAGTTCCTCTTCGCAGGCTTGGACTCAAACTGGAAAGCCCTCACCACATAATATCGAAGAACTCGCAGACTTCAAATTCTAATCTACAAGAAGGCTATCTCCATGAGCAGCCAGGCGACTTACGAAATTGAGTATCCTGTAATCGACTGGCGTCCTCCTCCGCTTCCCCTCGATGATGAGATCCTCTGGCCTCTCCTCCACCTCTGCGGGCTCAGTGCCGATAGCATCCGGACCAACCTCCTCCAAAAGAGCCTTCGCCTCCTCCTCGCTGATCTCCTCGTCCATATCGTCGTCCGAAGTGTCCGAATCTCGGCTGGCTTGGTCCTCTGGAACGTGAAACAGTGCACTCAGCGACGTTGCAGTGCACTGTCGCTAAAACCCTGAGTTTCTGAAATGGTTTGTTGTATAGTCCTTTGAACTGTAGGTGATTTCGTTCGGCTTTCTACTTTCTTGCTGTCCCTTACATCTATTATTTATTCCTTGTCGCCCGATTTGGAGCAGGTAAACGACTCCAACGCTTGTATTCAGGAGCTCATGATCCTCGAATCAACGCCAACAACTTACAAGCTGCTTGAGTCCTGTCATTCGCCGTCATGGCACAGCAAGCTGACCAGAAGCATCAGTGAACGCCTGATCCGCAGTCCCGTCACGCACAGCCATCTTTAAGTGCAGTGGATCTTACTAACGACCTCAAAAGGCAGTAAGAGAGAAGCTTTGCCAGAACCAGGAAGGAAGGTGCAACACCATTTCCATCAATCTGGCCCGAAAGGATTCATATGTCTTACCTGTTCCAGGCACCGTCTCTTCCCCTTCACTGTCCCCCTCTTTTGCCCCGCTGTCCTCTTTGTCGGGATCGTAGTCCTCATCAGCTGAGTCATCGGACGGCCACTCAGAGCTTTGCGGCACCTTGGGGGACGTGCCTGCGGCTTCTTGTTCAGCTTCCTCAGAGAACACGTCCTGCCAGGAGAAAATACACAGCTTTTAAATGTTAGTCAATGACAAGCAGCCCACAATCAAGAAATCAAGGAATCGTTCCTCTTATGAGCAACTGCGGTTGAACTCCAAAGGGAACAAGGACAAGATTAGAAAGTTGACCAGTTGGCCTGTTGAGCTGATACTTCTGGTAGGCAAGAAGCGGGGAAATGTCAGCAGGCGACTTCCATCTTCAGAAGGCTGTTCAGATGGCCGTCTCAAAATGGAAGCACTGTCCGCAAACGTTGACATGGTGAAAGCTGCCTCACCTGCCAGGAGCTGGTCATGAGTAGCTTGGTGCCAAACTGCTTGTTGATGGCGTGTATGCAGTCAAGCTTTACGTCGCAGGCGGGGCACAGCCAGCTCTCCTCGTCGGCGGGCACTGGAGAGTAGAGATTCCTCCATTTCAAGAATGCATAGCTAGAAAAAGCTGCCTGTATTTGACGCGGCTCACAAGGCAGGCGAGCGGAAACAATGACCCTACTTGTCGATCCCAAAGCTTCATATCAAGATCTAGAGCAGAAGCCTGACCACCGAGGTCAAGCCACCCGGTCAGTATTGGAAGGGAGGGGAAATTGGCCTGGCTTCAGTGCATCAACACTAATAGTGGGCTGATTTGAGACGGCCGGTCGCAACCAGTGGAAGCATTTCAATGGTATCTCCTGTAAATCTCGTCAGGTGCATTGATGCACAATTGTTGAGGAGCTCACTTTTGTCGGGTGTAATTGCCGGCTCCAAGCAGTATTGGTGGAAGGCGCGTTCACAGCCCCCGTCGCAGAGCAGGATGTCATTGCTGGTGGTGACGTGCCCAGTTTGACAGACAGCGCAGTTTACCTGCACCATACACAAGCAGTACGTACCACAATCAGGTTATGAAAAACTGCGCAACCATCAAAGTTACCCAAGCTTCCTTGTACTTGTCCTAAGTCAATCTCTAAGCATGAGATAAGCCCTCCAGCCAGCAGTGGAAAATCACACTCTGCAACAAAAGGTAGGGTGGCAAGTACAGCTCAGAAAGCTGCTCGAGTGGGTAACTTTCAGATAAGTTTCAGACAAGTCCTTAAAAAGCAACATCTTCTGCACAGACTCTGCCCGTACCAAGTGATCGAGATGGAAGTGCAGGCAGATCCTGCAACAAACATCATTCGCCCTTTGTGGAAAGCCTTAAGGAGAAGAACCGACTCGACTGACTGAACAAGGTGCAGAATGAAACAAACCTGTTCGTGCTTCCTGCGTCCCCTCTCTTTCTTCTGAGCCATCTCTGCAATCTCATGGTTCATGAGAACCTCCAACTCCTGCACTGCTCCCCTGATAGCCAGCTTGGAACGATGAATCTGACTGCGCGCTCGTAGGAGCTCCTCCTCGGGTCGCAACTTCTCGTGGCTGTGGCAACAAACAGACAAAATGTTCTAGCAGCATAAATGAATTCCATCGAGCTGAAAGTTCTTCCAGGCTGTAAATGCCAGCTGCCCTCTGGTTCGGTTTCTATCAATTGGGTGAGGATTGTCAGATAGTACGCTATGCCAGCAGGCCAAGAACCAATCCCCAAAATGGAAATGTCACCAACTAACTAGAAAGTAAGGGATGATCCTGATGGTGCCTTGACTGGGACCGTTTTGATTAGTTACCAAAGGTTCTTCACAGGATTTCAAATGAACTTCAGCAATGCCCTTCGTTCAAAAAGTCGCACGTTATTAGAATGGCATCTGCGATGCCCTTGCCATCAGATCCTTTGATGTAACTGAATCTTGGAAGTTTACTTAGCTATCGATTAAGTGAACCCATAGTCCCCTGGCAGGCTATCTTGCCATCCTCATCGGTCTGTGTCCATAAGCGAAACCACCCATCAAAACAACTTAGCGCATTTCAACGCTATCTTGTTCATAATAATTGAGTAGGACATATCAAGCCTAGGTAAAAACTGAATTAGATAGAATGCGAAGGCAGAAGAAACGACCTGAATCAGGATAGTTGAAATGGGATTGTTTACCCTTCAAACATTTCAGGAAACCAGCACCTTGTGATGTCAATGAACAAAGCTTTGACCCTTCTAAACTTGTTGGAAAGGCTCGTATGAATGTAGTAGACAATATTGGGACATTGATTGCTGGTGGTAAAGCACAATGAGCAATGTAACCTTTAGTATTGAACACAGCTTGCAACTAGCATAATGCATACAAAGAAGTTGCCTCAAATAAAGAAAGGTGGTGTATCTTTCACTGACTCAAGCACGGGTCTATCAAGCTTGAAATTGCAGAGAAAGATATTTACAATCCTCAAATCACAAGAACCAGAGTCCTTTCAAAGTGAGGTGCCACCATTGTCGAGAAAGCAATTAGGTGGAAGTTTCAAGAAAAACCAGAAGGTTCAGAATATTTCAAAACATTGAAAAGTTCTACCAGCGTTTGTCCTCAATACCTAGTATGTAATGCACTTGGTACATGCTCTCCCTTTGCAGCTTGTTGCAAAAACAGGAAAACATCCTTATAAATAAGACGCGAGTTCCTAGAAGAGAGCTTCACCCACCTTCCTGAGTATGCTTCCAGGAGTGCCTCCTCCCGTCTGATCCTTGCGATTTGAGTCTTGATCCTGCTTCTCAGCCTGCCAGTGCTAACTGGGACTACAATCTTCTTGGTTCCCATGTCTTCCTGCTCATTCCCCTCTCCATCCTGGACCTTTTCAATCTCTTTGAAGTCAGTTGCTCTTTGTCTAAGAATTGGCCGGGGGGGTACTGGTGCACCGACAAGCACCTTTTTCTTGTGGCTCTTGTGAACCTTGTTTGCTGGTTGCTTATCAGAAACATTAATGTTTTCTCCGAATTCTGGCTTAACTTTGTCTAACGATTGGCCAGCAATGGCGTCCAAGCCTAAAGATTTTGCTGACGACCGTCCCCGCTTAAGGAGTGGCTTTTTGATCAACTTCGCATCCCCCTCGCTCCTCTGCAAAGCTGGCTCAACTTCATTTTGCAACTTTGCAGACGGCCTCCCTACCAGCAGATTCTTCTTTGAATCTTCAACTGCTGCAGCCACTTTCGCAACACCTTCCTGAGCTTTTGTAGCACTGTCGGACTGAATTGGTTTTCCTATGGGTGGTGCCGCAGAAGCAGCTTTCCTAACCGCAGCCACTTTTGTTTTTGTTCTAAGCTCGCTCTTGTTTACAGTGCCCCCACAGCTGCACCATCGTGCGGGGCACCCGCATTTCCGAGTTCCCTGTGGCATTCTCTACCTCCACAACTCACCAAATCCTATATCCGTTTTTTTCCTAAACATGAGAAGCAGCGTGCCTAGTCAGGAGAATGCACCTCCAACAGTTGGAGATAAATACCGGATGCTGCGTGCAAGCTATGTTCCAAGCCAAAGCACCTCTCTACATCAAAGAGCCAGGAGACAACCTACAAATGGGCATAACAAGTAATCTGTCCCATCAATGGTCATCAAAGTTGGGGCCAAAGCATCCTCCTCTTTGACCAAACAATCTGGTTCTTGTCATCCTTACCAACTCCCTAAGCTTTGCTGGTTTGTGAATTGCAGCTGCAACTCTCCACACTAAACCTTCTACCTACTTTCTGGCACCTGCAAAATGGCGCCTTTCCTCCCGAGGGCAAGCTCCTCAAATGAAGATCCTTGCATTTGAAATCTAGGAATTCAAGTTGACCAAATTAACGGAGGTACGATTCTTTGACGCTAGAGGATAACTATCTGTTTCCCCCGACTGAGCGCACCGACGACAGAAGCTGTCCCCACGCGTGGGTTTCCACTACGACCGGTTTGATCCACCGACCAACAACAGCTGTTGCTCCTCGTCAGTCCTACTTGTCGTAGCTGACATTTTTTTGCACAACAGCAGCGCCTGCGGCCTACCCGCCACATTGAACTTCAGGCTCCTTGTGCTGGCAATCCATGATGCACAAAGATCAGACAAGAAGCAAAAGCTGCAGTGCTCCAGCCTCCAGGGGCGATTCGCAATTACGCAACTGCCCTGCAACTGCCATGGACGTAGTCACGTTTGCTACGTTCCATCTTCAAAACTTTCTCTGACGAGCAAATAGCTAGTACCACCTTATCTGAAAGACAGTATGCAGCTGCATTTGAGTAGCGACGGCAGGCCAATATACGTATACGAAGCATGAGAAAATATGAAGCTTATGAAGATTCTCGACTGTACAAGTTCAGCTCTTGATCAGCCAATCAGCGGCAGCACATGTGCGTCGCCTTCAATCAAATGAGATTCAGCTCGCATTCTATTATAGTACGGACTTATAAGTGGTTCCTGCATGGTGGAGGCGGCACCCCAAAATCGTGCCCTCAACAAGTCTGCAATTCTAGCTAGTCATCACATACGAGACGATTGTTCACTGTGGATGACACATGGACATGGTGAAGGGCCGCGTGAATGTATTATTTGCCATTGCCACCATCTAGCAAAAATGATCATCGTCTTATCTCCTCTCGTGAACTAGTTGCATCGACTGAAGAGAGACCACATTACCACGTTCACAACTTCGAGTCGCTCGCGGATGGCGCGACGCCCAGGCATTTGAGTAAAAAGGCGTACTCGAAGGCTGTTTCTTGGAGTTTATCAAACCTGCGAAAGAACACAGGCAGCTTTTACCATCCGGGATGGGCAACATGGAGCGGATCACTCTGCGAAAAAGAGTGGACACCCTGGACAACTTGCTGAGGCGCGTCAATACTGAGAAGATTTCGCATAGTGACTTGAGATAGCAAAGACGAGCACGACGCTGAGCAACTTTTCGGTCCTAACTGTGGTGGGCTAAACAGACAATCAAGGCATCTTCGTGATGCGAGATGTGACCCTTCTATGCTCGAGAAAGAAAAGCTCAGGCAGTCCGCTGACCTGCCAGACTTGGAGAAGTGCCCAGCGCCCGTGTCGCACTTGAACATCAGCAGCCGGTCGTCCGTCTTCGCTTCCCGAAGTTTCGCCACCCACTTGGCGGGCTCCCAGTAACCGACCCTGGAAACGAGGATGACCCGTTATTTTCGACAAAGTTGTCTCAGGGAAGAAAGAGAAACCGTCGGAAACGAGGACAGAATGCGTTTTTCCCGACAGATTTACTTAGGCAGGAGAGAAAAACCGTAACAAGAGCGTCGAATATCAATGTTGCTGCGAAAGACTGACAGTACCCTGGTTCTGTCGTCTTCGTCGCGAATGGATTGCAATCCTGGTTGATCCGTCCTCCATCGCAAATGAATGCGTTCACCTTAGACTACCTTGAAGTTATCTTGACATGCTCAACTGAAGCGCAATAAAGAGCCGCAGAAGCTTGGCACACTTAGACCCGCTTACAGCCGGGTCTCAGGGAGGAGCCGCAACGAAACAATCAATAATACCCGCTACTGAGATTCGTTGAAAAAGAAAGGGCTGGTCTTCAATGCTCTCAAGAACTCTTTGCATTCCTGATGAGTTCGTCAGCAACATAACACCTCAATACCAAGAACAGCTAAATCCAGCCAACTCGATCTACCCATCTCATGGCGCCTCAAAATCCCGAAGAACACGCAGTGCCTGTTCCCACCGCAGCAAGGCGCCCATTCTCACCACCGCAAAGAGCCTGTTCTCACCGTGGATCGTGCAGCCCCGCCGTGACCAGCACGTTCGGATACTCCGCCGCTTTCACGTTGTCAATCGGTGAGTAGCTCTTCATGTACCGGTAGTACTCTTCTTCCTGCGGGTTGCCCCACTCCTCCCACTCGATCGTCGTCAGCGGAATGGTCGGGTCCAGCATCGTCGTCAGAACGTCGACGAACGGAACCCCGGCCAACGCGGCTTGGAACAGGTCGGGGCGCAGGTTGAGCGTGGCGCCGATCAGGAGCCCACCCGCCGATCGACCCTGCGGCAAGGAACGCCGGAAGTAACTATCTGAAGCGCGAAAAGCCATTGCCGTTTGAAGCGCTGTTCGCGAACAACGAGGATCTGGATGGTAAACTCGAAGCAGAGCCGAGAGAAACAAAAGTCTGGCCGACTGCGAGAGAGTCTGGCGGGATCGGAGGTTGAAAGTGGCGCTGATCCGATACCCCCTGTAGCGAGACCCATCTGTGAGATTCACGGAGAACACTCAAGCAAAGTCACCACGTGGTGTAACAACGTCAATCGTGCCTCTGACCGTGTCTAATCAAGCCGTGGATGGGTCCCTCGTTTGGGAAAGCTGCAGAGTTAGTAGCGAGGAGGTGCGGCAAAAAGTCTTTTGCTTGGGAATTCCCCCCGAGGAGAAGTGTAAGGGTCGAACGCCTACCCCAGACGCGATCTTTGAAGGGAAATGAACGAGATACCTCGGAGGAGTGGCGCTGCATACTTAAGTTACTTGAACATTGCACTGATGGAATGCGAACCCTGACACCGCAAAATAGTGCTCGCTTGCAAAATAAGCGGCCACATTGAGCTGATTGGCAGACGTACATCTGGCCGCACCCCAGCTGTTCAAATCACTCAGTTTTCGGTTTCAAAATGGCTCATTCTTTGCCACTTTGCCACCTGAAACGACAAAAATGATCACGCGGTTCGAAGCCGAATCCAGGACAAACCCAATCCTGACGGAAGCAAGCTCACCTCTATAGACAGCTGGTTTGGCGTCGTCCACTTGTCTTTGATCAAGTGCTCCGCTGCGGACACAAAGTCCACGAAGGTGTTCTTCTTGTGCAGGTACTTGCCGTTCTCGTACCACTTACGGCCCAGATCGCCGCCCCCCCGGATGTGGGCGATCGCGAACGTCACCCCCCGGTCAATCAACGCAAGCCTGGAGGTGAAGAAAAAGGTTAATAAAGGCAGATTTTTAAGAGGTTACTTTCAGGCTTAGGGAAACGGGAGCGAGGGTAGATTTGAGAAATGACTGTTTGGATTAGGCTTCGCACTAAATGAATATTGTAGGCTTTTTCAGAGAATCCAGGAAAGATCGCAGCAGGGAAACGGGACAAGTGACAAGTATGCTACAAAAGGTTCACTAGCGCTCGCTTGGGCAACTATAGGTATGGTTCTCGGGGTTGGGGTTTGAGAACTCCGAGATGAGCGAAAGCCCGGTGAGAAAGAGCCACGCGACCAGCAACAGGCACAATGATATCTAAGCAGCGGGGAAGCATGGTAGCACATGCATCTTTGGGTAGCGGTGAGAATTCTCGGAGTCAGGGTACCAAATCGACAGTAGCAAATGCGCTGGATTTCTGCGAACAATGTTGCCTTTCACCCGCCAACAGCCGTCGAGACTTTTACAATGACTAAAGACCTGGACAGTTGGAGTGCTTCAATGCAATCAGCGGGCTTGTAGAGGCGGAATCCGAGAATGTCACGGGAAAAAGGCTATCCTTGAGACGGGATTCGGGCTCTCAAGCGTACTCAGCAAAGCCCAAAAAGCCCAAGTTGCAGCCCCTGGTAAAATCAAGATTAAGCAAGTAGTTAGACTTCCAAATATCGACGAAGCCTGAATGGACGTCATCTGAATGCGCCCTGGCCCTCACCTGTTCGCACTGAACGAGGCGTCGATCGGGATCTCGTAGCTGCCGTAGCCGTATAGATGGAGCGGTCCTGGAGCGCCGGGGTGAGCGTCGCTCGACCCCTCCCTGTGAAGGGGGTAAAAAAGAAGTTAAGCACTTAAGGCTGCCGTACTTCATCCTCACTCCAAACGATCAGAATGCACTGTGAAAGACTTGACAGACTTCTTTGCACGAGTTTTAAAGTCCAGGACAGCAGAGACAGCCCGACGCCTGCTTTGAAGGAGCGAACGCAGATGAGAACAACGTAGGCCGTCCGAGGGTTTTATTTCTTTGATTTGGGTCTTTCTTCTATCTGCTTTCAAGCTCGTGGCGTGCTGCAGAACGTAGACTACCTGGTGCAATTCTTCGCTTGCCTGTTCTGCCAGACCAACGCATGGGCACTGCAATCCGTTGTACGTATTCAAACTTTAGAACAGCGGAAAGACAACCAGAGGCTTGATTCGTGGGACCGCACTTAAGGGAAGCGCAAGAGTTCTTCTTGGTGTCTAAAGGACGGATCGGGTGCACTCCATGTTTCTATGCTTGTACCTTGCATGAGATCGCAGACCACTCCTGTTTTGCCACACCAGCGAGCTGGGCATTTCGGGAAATAGTGTCTACGGGTAACTATTACAGTTCTCCGCCTCACCTGTTTTGCCAGACCAGCGAGATGGGCACTTCGGAAAGAGTGTCTACGGTCAAGTAGTACAGTCCGCTGCTGACCTGTTTTGCCAGACCAGCGAGATGGGCACTTTGGTCCCATCTTCGGAGGTCGCCCACACGCGGGCTGTCCGGTACTTGGCTGGGTCGAAGCCGCCCAGCACCGGCTGCACCTTCTTCAGCGCACGCTCGCCAGTTGTCAAATCGTAGTCGTACGTCTGCACAAGGAACAGATTATCGCGTCGCCCACGTTCTTAAGCTGCAATCCTCAAGCACCAGAACTCTTGCTTTTGCCACGAAAAATTCAGGTACGCACCCGAGAAGCAAATAAGTGTTGGCGGATTCGAGCTGGGTTGAAAGGGTCGGGAGCCTGGTTAGCAGTCAATGTCAACCACAAGGAGCAAGACGGGGCCAGTAAAAGCTGTGCCCAGAGCTTGGAACAGAGGGGGGGACAAGGCAAGCATTTCAGTGGCAGGACGGACAAACTACCTGGCAACAGTAGGTACTAATTCCGACCATAGTAGCTTTCGGTCCCAACGGCTCGCAATCCGCTCAGTCTGGTATTACGCTACCTTTGCGTACAGGAAGTCCATGGGCACGTCATGGAAAAAGCGCAATCACATCAGGAAAAGAGAGTCACCGTCTTTAGCCTATAAGCAAGCCCCTTTCTTGATGCAGAACCCAACGGGCATCGTTGCGGGGGCTGCTCAGGCAAAACGTCGCCGACCTTCGATCGTCCCTTACAATGATCGTCGCACTCACCGAATAAGGCGTCTTGAGCGACGTGTATCCGAAGCGCAGAATGTGCGACTTGAACTGCGAGCTTTCCGGTTCCAGCGAGAACGCCGACTCGTCGAACTGGATCTTCCGCCCCTCGGGGAGCGTCTCCAACGGTTGTCCGCTCTCCGGAAGATCGTAGACTGTGATGGTGGTTAGACCGGATTGGCAGTCGCGGGCGAAGATCGCGATGTGGCGCTCGAAAGGCTCGACGTCATCAAGGCGCGCGCTGCATTCAGAAAAAAAGGTATGTTGACAGACTCCGGAAAGCTTCAGCGTTTTAATGTCCCTCTGACCAGAACGGTGAAGATGGGAAGCTTTGGTGCTTTCTGCGGCCACGCAATTTCTCGGTTTCAATGAAGGAAAACCGTTTTGCGGAGATAGTAGAAGCAAAATGGTGCATCAACTTTGCAATGAGTAGGGAAGTTTTCCGCTGTCGAGACGGCCTTATATGGGATGGACGGATCTGAAATCAGTCTCACATCAGTTCGCGTCATTGCCAGTCCTGACGTGGAGCATCAGGCCCAAGATAAAGAAGACAATTGACACCCTTTTCCCGCTGTCAAACCGGCCTCGTGTCAAGGAGAAACGGAATCTGAGATCTATCTCAATCTATCTTCCCCATCATCGCCAAACCTGAAGTGGACCATCAGACTCAAATCAGTTACAGATAACAAACTGACGACTTTATTGAAAGGAACCAAGCTTTAACGCGCTGTACAAATCCAACCAAGCGCCTCACCAGGGCAAGGTCTCTTCATATCAGGATAGCGAGTAGGCGGCGTCATGTCAAACCGTATTGCCTCTGATTTAGTAGCGTTGAGAATAACAGCAGAGCACTCTTAACAGACGCTGAGAAGCCGGCCCATCAGTAACAGAAAGCAGTCTCGCTCCTGATCACGTCGTGCAATAAGCACCAGGAGTCGCTCTGGGGTGCGGCATACGTAGCTTTCAGCAGGAGGAACGGCCTACAAGTGCCCTGATAAGGTAAGCTACCAGTGGTGCCTGCAGATTAATCTAATGCAATAGGCCTCAATTGTTGGCAGCGGCTCAGCAGATAGAACCCATCTTGAGGTCAAACCTCGAGAGGCTTTCATAGCCGCTCTTCGCTGGCAACGTCAAGCGTCGAGACAATACAGAATAACTAACCAATGCTTTCCCAGCCCGTCTGAAACATTTACGGTACGAGTGTTTCACGAGGAGAAACTCGACTCTTGGGGCTCCTGCTTTTAAAAGGTCTATGCAAGACAGACCCAGAAAGGTTCCGAGGCTGCGAGAATCCAAAATTCATGGTGATACATCCTGTGGTTTTCAGGATGCAAGATTGCAGGCTTGCGCAGTGTGTTTTGCGAGCCACTCTTAAGTACCAACGGACTTCAGTACCAAGGGGCAAGAGCTGAGATCGCGGCAGCCAATACTCTGGCCTCGAAAGATGGTGGGTCGAGGCGCTGGGTGGAATCAGGTATGCAGATTAAAAACGCTTATACAGGGAACAAGCGTAAACTTAACCTTACATAAGAGTACAATACAAGACAGGGGTGGGGTGAACGTTGCTTCAGAAAATTGTCACTGAAGCTCAAGCAGCCTCTACATGGACGAGGAAGTTGGAACGCTTTCGTACAGGACACTGTACGGATTTCAAGAATCGGAAATAGCGGTTTAAGTATGCCAAGATTAACTCCTCACTATCCAAGCAGTGGGCTTTGTTCCATTGCGAGTCTCTCAATCGGTGGTAAAGCCCCAAGCGTTTCCATTATGGCCCCAGTCCACGCAACATAAGAATGCCCAAAACTTTGATTCTCTTGATACGGCTGTACGCAAGCGCATTTTCCGATGAGCAACACGTGTGAGTCAGGTGCCGGAAGAGATGTCCAACACAACCATCGGAGCCTCGGCTGGCCACAGCAAATTTTCCAACAAACGTCCGACTTCAGTGGAAGGGTCCCATCGTCCCCTTGAGCATCACTCAGCCTTCAAAACGCCGACCATTGGCCGATTGCAACGTCATCGTCACCACGTAGGTTTCCCACTCTGCACTTTTCTGCTGTGGATGACGGTCAGTACCGCGACAGATTATGTTGCCTCTAAGGCCTGACCTCCTAAGACGGCTCAGGATGGACGCTGAGGGATGACGTAGAACGTCAGATTGCTCCTCATCGCTGCCGCTGCATACACTGCCAACAGCCGGCAGAAACAAATGCATGACATTTTTGCGAGACTTTCCTTGCAAGATAAGCCGTAAACGTATGTGTAAGATCATCGCAAAAAAGTATACACTCGCTTTCAGTAGCCCGAGTTGCAGACGTAAAAGCACAGCCGCCAATAGTACTGGACAGAAAAAGCTTCTGAGTGCGTCACAATTATTGTAGCTGATACAACTCAAGGCCAGGCGGCTCAATATCCCTCTGAAATCTGAATCCTATTATCTCGGAAACAGGTGCTGACTTACAAGGTGCTTGGAGGTGGTCATTGAGCAGCTGTTCAAATCAGTTTGTCGAAGAAGCACAAAAGGCTCCAATGAATCGGCTCAGAACGGTAAGCCCATGATGAACCAGCGCATACTTCTCCTGGGTGGAAAAAGGGGTGACAACATAGGCCGGCACCTCTATCGAGGAACCACTCGTGTTTGCTACCAGAGGCTGGTCAAGTCAAAACGGCAGAAAGCACCGGGATCGGGCGAGCAGCCTGGCGCGCACGCTCTTGTTCACGCCGGAAAAGCCCCTGAACCCGCTGACTTCGTTACAAGACCGATAAGTTTGCATGTGGGCGCCTTTCCCAGTGCGCTCATCGTCGTTGCACTCAAGCTACTGCTTAATCACCTCAAGGAGTCAGACCAATCCAGCTTGAGGTCAAGTGTACTAACCTCCACAGAAACGAGTACCAATTTTGTTTAATTCAACACCACCAAGCTTGATTACCGGCCCCAATAAGAGCTCCTACAAAGTTGAAACATTCGCGCAAGACGAACTGAGAGCTGAAACAGACCAACTGGAACTGAAACTGAGACAGACCAATAGGAATTTCGCGACCCAATGGCTATAGGGGCTTGCTGTACAAAATAGCCCGATCAGAGCTTGTTCTTCCGTGTTGGGGCCGTCTGATCTGAACCACAATCGCAAAACAATGTACCCTGGCCCAAAGGACAGGAAAAATCCAAAGAAGATGCGAAAGCTGGTGCTTTCAAGCGGAGCCCTAGGGTTAAAATCGAGGGGAGCTAGCGAAGGCAACGAACAACAGAAGTTGTTTTGACTATCTAACCGACATTCACAATAGGCCAGGTCCCGTCCTGCATTATCCACCCCCGACAGTGGGACGGCCACTGAGCCTTCTGAGATTCTTCGATAGCACCTTACAAAACGGAGTTATGTAGGAGTGTACGACATGAACGAGGCAGACGCCCCGATGTATCGTGGTCTTTATCGCTGCTGGCTGATATACATAAATAAGTAGTTAAGCCTGACATCTAGCTCTTTGGCACGTTGCAGAGCTGACGGTCGCCTATCATGAGGCGCACACTAATCTTCATCGAGTTACGTTCCTGCTCATGAAAACTCCTGGCTAATACTGCCACCTCTTCTCAAGCAATCCCACTCGTTTAGGCACGCAAGATTGTGTTGGGAAAGGGACGACCATTTACAAATCCAAACAGTCGTGTAAACGCACATACGGGCCAGAAGCCCCAATAGACAAAAGCAGACCATCGATTCTTCAAAACTGAGAAAGGAATCGCTCATGCTGCGGCAGACATACCACTCCTAGATTTGCCCTGACGAGCTGGCTTTGGAAAGCCGTATCCCAAACTGGGCCGAATCAAAGCCCATTACCTTGCTCATCATTGCCAGCACGAGCCAGATACTTCGTGGCGTACACAAAAGCGTATCGAGAAACGACAAAATTCCCTTTTCACGATAGATGCTGGTGAAGCGATTGAGATCGGGAAAAGCGCTCATCCGTCCCCTCTCGTCGGGCAGACATAATGCTGGACCAAACTAAACTTCTGCTTCCGATTCTCTTCTCGGAACCACCGAAGGAGTGGGGCTGCAGGCATACACACCAGACAGAAACCAAACGGGCGGATTCAGAGTCAACGAATCAGCAGTCAATGAAAACTGGAAACACAAGCACGACGACAGGCACGACACGAGAAAAAGGCTTCACAAAATCATTATGCTTTGAGCGGCGCCGTACCTGGGGTCGTGGGGAAGGAGGGTTCGTGAGGCGGTGGGGTCGGTAACGGGCGCCACCAGAAGCTCGGAGTTGAAGAGCTCCTCGCTGCGACGCGTAATTAAGAAGTGGCCGCCGCTGTGGGTTACCTGCAGGGATGTCCAAGGTACCGTTGTCGAAGCAAGAAGAGGAGGTGGTAAAAGCTGATGAGATTGACAAAGTCATCGTCTTCGTGGTAGCCAAACAGAAAAAAGTTGCACCGCTGTAATCCCACTTGCAAGACACTTTCACAGTTTATTGAAGCGTACACGTCGCTCAATTGAAATTGCAGATGCTCGTGAACATGCATCCAAAAACGCTCTAAGAGCAATTTTATTGGGAAAAGTAGTTGCCTGGCTCTTTGGGCGTTTCGAGGACAACGCCTTGGTTGTTGCTTTCGCACTATGAGCGCTCACGTGGATAAACGTGGAAGAGGCCCTTATGCGCGCGAGGGAGAAGCGAGAGCGGAAAGAGAGACTATTTCAACAGACCAACACCGGGTCAATGGATTCGCAATACAATCAACTGTTAAAAGCACCGAAGGAAGCAGGTTAGAGAGAGAGAAGGTTGTAAAACGGGCAGTGAGCAGTCGAGCTTCTGGTCGCTACTGCCCGCCAAACTACTCACGTTGACTTCCACGTTCTGCACGCGGGGCGTCAGCATCTGCAGCTCCCCCTCGGGTTTATCGGCATCGAGGAACAGCGCATTGCTGGTGACTGCGCTCCCGGGCGAGACGATAATGTACCGGTCGCTCTCCGTCTTCCCGAGGCCAAGGTAAAAGGCGTCATCTTCTTCGTGAAAGACCAGGGCGTCTTCTGAGGGGTCCGTTCCGACTTTGTGCCGCCAAAGCTGCAAAGTAATCGGTGCCAATGAAAAGTGAGACTTCACACTCCGTAATTCCGAGCATTCATCTCGATGTTAGGGTTTAGGAACCTACCTCGTAGGTGTTTCGAGCTTCTAGCCTGAAAGGATTGAGATGGTCGAGCAATGCAATGGGTTCGCTATCTGGAGCCTATGAATTCTGTTATTCGCGTCTGCAGTACCTTGCAGACACTGAGCCGACTCGCTCAAAACTCTTGTCGGGAGTTCCCAAGACAAGTTCCCTTCGTCGCAGTAGCCTAAGGTTCGCAAATACTAGCTGATTGAGTTCTTCACAAGCGAATCCTAATCAGCCACTTCTGTCGCCCGCTCGGCACGCTCACTACTGCCTCAAACGCCGCCTGACTCCAACTTACAAATGACAAACCGGAGCACTGACTTTGAAAGGCCGGTCAAGGTGGTCTTTGGTGGTATAGAACAGGGTCTCGTTGTCGTTCGCCCAGACCACAGACCCGCTCAAGTCGCTGATGGGCTTCGTCAGTAACTCCTGGCCCGACGCAAGGTCCTGCACAGACCAGCAAGCTCCCTTGTTCAATATTGTCCGCATACTTCGTGCTATTGGTGTCTCGAAGTGTTTTAACTGTTATGCTCGATCACTGTGCCGACAATCCCCGTCCTGACCGACTTCCTGAACTTCGCAATAAACTTACAAGAGGCGTGTGAACCTGGTAAGGACAGTCATCAGAAGCGGTTTAAGACAGGGACCCGAGCGCAGCACATCCCAATGTGCGTTGCCGGCAGACTCCGTCTCCGTAGAATCCAATCTAAAAATCGCCTTAAGCAGAAGTCAAAGATCAGAAAACGGTGTAAGTGCAAAGAGGCCGCAGACGTTTGAGAATCTTTATCCCTCACTTACCAACATCAAATGATGATTATACACGGACGAAAAAACTGAAGGTGTTGGTACGGTACGTAATGTGAGTGCAGACGGCCCAGGTAACAATCCAGCTTCTTTCAACGGTTCCTCTCCTAGATCGCAGATGCGTCAACAGCCTAGCCAGCAGCGACGCATTTTCTCGTGAGCTTCACACCCAATGAGAAATCACGAGCAGATGACAGAACAGGAACCATTTGGCCAGTCGGGGTGTTCCACCCACCTTAATGTGCAGCGTGTACTTCTCCCCGCCCACGGTGTCCTCTGCGTATGCCAGCAGCTTGTGGTTGGGGCTGATCTTGAAACCGCGCACTTGGTAAAACTCCGACTTCTTCGACTCCTCGTTTTCGTCCAGAAGAATCTCCTCAGCCTCGTTGGCGGCCGCGCTCTCAAGCGTCTCTTCCAGAGAGCCAGGGCCCTCGCCAGCGGCGATCTTCCTCCTGTTGATGAAACTTCCTATGTTTGTGTCTTGGAAAAACAACAGCTGGCCGAAGCAGGTGGGGCTATGTTCAGATTAACAATAGTGAAGCCTACCGTGTGTGGTTTTGACCTTATGAACGCCACTCGTTGCTCTGTCTCCCTAGAACCTACTTCGATGTTACAAGCTTCTAAACGCCTAGGACTGACAGATGCAAAATCGATGACGGGGGTTCCTGAAACTTCCCCAGTTTACCACTTAATATCGTCAAAAGGCTTCGATTAAGACACACCACGAAGACAACCGAGAACCCTCCTCCATACAGAACCCGCTTTGCTCCCTACCTGCAGTGCACGCTGTACTGTTTCCCTTCTTCTGTCCGCTTGTAGTAGAAGAACGGCCCCTTCCTCAGCGGCACACTTTGATCTTCCTCCTTGATCCTGCCCCGCATCTCCTTGTATAGCGTCTCTTGGAGGTCCTTGGAGTCAGCCATGACCGCCTGAGTGTACTCATTCTCGGCTTGGATGTGGCTAAGGACCTGCAAAAGCAAGAAAGCTTTTCGGCCAAAGCTTCTTGCTCTAACCTGTTCGACTGCTTGAATGCTCTCTTGTGAATGTTGAATATTGTCATGGATGTTGGTTGAATATTGTCGTTTGAACATGGCTTCAATGTTGTCTTGTTTGTTCATTTTACCGTTGCCACAGCTTTGTTTCTTACTGCCACTCCTTTCCTGCGCCTGATAAATTCGGAAAGTTAGAACTATGCAAAGTAACACAAAAACTCTCTTCAATTGCAATTGATCTCTTGCTAAACAGATGCATGGTGTTACTTAACAAACTTGCGTAAGCTTTTGGGCAAAGCTGGTTGTGTTTTCTAAAACCGTCAGAGTCAGCTCGGTTGAAAAGATCAGCTGAATTCAGCATTCCATCAATCGATCAGGGACGACACATGATTATCAAGCAGCAAAACGAAGTAACTGCTTACATAGTTGCACAAGCAGACCAAAGGCAGCCTGCCCATCCGTGAAGAGACTGATGACTCAGGAGTGTTCAGATGGTCAGTAAGCAGTGGACACCCTATCTAAACATGGAAATGGTCAGAACAGGGAAAGGTGCTGAATCTGGAGCATAGCAAGTGCTCAGGGGCGCACCTCCGGATCCTCTCGCTTGTCGTCTCGCAGCCAGTAGTACGGGTCCTCCCTCTCATCCCCATGGATGACCGGCAGCTTGTACGGGACTTTCTTAGCCCTAGGAGGAGCAGGAATGCTTGCGCCTGCAGGTGCAGACAAAGCCGCTATCTTGTATAATCATGTATAATCATGGGTGTCGTGTTCCCTGACTTGATAGATTGAATGACATGCAACCTGGTCGGCCCCAAACCTAGCCAGAACCCATCGGTGGTGGAATGGACAAACACTTTCTAAAATACATTTTGCACAGGACATAAGGGGACAGCAATAAGAGTTGATTGAAATGCACCGCCGGGTTTAGTGCTGGACTACGTTTGGCGCTTAGACAGTATTGAAAAGGTTTCAGCTCGTTGGGGCTCCAAAAGTATCAAGAAGGATTTACTTTTCAGACTTTTGTTCTCAATTGAGATGGGGCAGCCTGACAAATCCTAGTTGGCACTTGGCATCTTGCCAATTATGATACTCTGCAAGACATGCTGCATCCTGCAACAAGCACTCAAAACACAAGTTGAGAATTCTACCCTTACTTTCCCCTGAACTAGCAGCGGACGCCACCATCTTGTGCGGCCCGAGCAGAGGTCCCGCTAGCGCGACGATGGAAGTGCCCCCCACAATGCACGTGCGTCTGCTGAGATGGACCTCCCGCAGCAAACCCTCTGGATTGTGCAGCGTTTGCGTTGCAACGGTCCGCAGCTGACGGCTGAGCAGAACAAGTGGTGGCGCCTGAGTTGCAAAATTTGACCGAGCCCGGAGGGAACCAACGAAGGCGGAATCTGATGGCAATGTACAATTTGACAAGGGTTTCTTTCCACAGCAGGCTGCAACTTTTGAGACGACACCCGAAGCTCCAGCATGTGCAAGCAATGCTGATCCGCACCGCGCTGCCATCAACCCTTCAGGCAGTTGGAGCAGCACAAAACGCAACGGCAGGCGTGGGGTTTACTTACAATGACATAACTGAGCAGCCACGTTTCAGCCCAAACCTAGTCACAGTGTCCCCAAGTTCTCCTGCGTTTAACCAAGTGGGTCTAAGGGTACCGTCATTTTGTAACTGGCACCCCCCCATATTTAAATCGACCATTTTCGGACTAGTGGCCCCTTGCCA